ACTGATCACCTGAGGTCAGAAGTCACCTGGCCAACATGATGATGTCAGGCCTCTGAGCCCAAGCCTGCACATATACATCCAGATGTCCTGAAGCAACTGAAGAACCACAACAGAAGTGAACATAGTTCCTGCCTTAACTGATGACATTCCACCGCTGTGATTTGTTCCTGCCCCACCCTAACTGATGAATTGACCTTGTGACATTCCTTCTCCTGAACAATGAGTCTCAGAAGCTCCCCACTGAGCACCTTGTGACCCCTGCCCCCGCCTGCAAGAGAAAACCCCCTTTAACTGTAATTTTCCACTACCTACCCAATCCTATAAAACTGCCCCACCCCATCTCCTTTTGCTGACTCCTTTTTCGGACTCAGTCCGCCTGCTCCCAGGTGATTAAAAAGCTTTATTGCTCACACAAAGCCTGTTTGGTGGTCTCTTCACACGGACGCGCGTGACAGATAAAACCACCTCTCTACTACAAATACAAAAAATTAGCTGGGTGTGGTGGTGGGCACCTGTAATCCCAGCTACTCTGGAGGCTGAGGCAGGAGAATGGCGTGAACCCAGAAGGCATAGGTTGCAGTGAGCCAGGATTGCTCCACTGCACTCCAGCCTGGGCAACAAGAGCAAAACTCTGTTTCAAAAAAAAAAAAAAGGAGAGAAAAAAAGAAACCTATCAAAGCGTCAAAGCCTAAGAGATTCTTTTCAAGGATGTAGCGTCTATTCTAGGGCTTGCAGCACAATCTTTGCCCTGTTGGAGAAATCATAATTTTCTGTAACCTTAGTGTGCATGGCCAGATACAGTGCCCTTGGTGCCAGATTTCTGCTATTTGACTCCTTCCTGTGAGCACTTTACCCTCTCATAATGTGTTGATTCTAAACCACACACATTTATTGTTCCCCTTTTAGGTTGACTGTCTCCAGGGCCCAGGCTGTTTCTAGGTAGCACTAGAGCCTCCACTTCAGTGGGTCTGGGGTGGGGCCTGATAATTCGCTGTTCTAACAAGTACCCAAGTGGTACTGATCTAGGGATCAGACCACCGCTTTGAGAGCCGCTGATCTAGTTCAAATGATCGTAGTCTTAAGCTGATACCAATAAGAAAATCGAATGCTTCCCTGCTGCTGTCTTGCTCTCCCTCAGCGCCAGCACATGCGTTCATGTTCTTCCCCACCTGGGGTAGACGCTTAGGCTATTTGTGCTCAGATCTCTGCTTTAGGGATTTGCCTAAATCTGCTGTCTCCCAGCTGTGTCTCATTTCTGTCTAACTTTTTTTTTCCCCCAGGCAAAGTCTCACTCTGTTGCCCAAGCTGGAGTACAGTGGCACGATGTCGGCTCACTGCAACCTCCACCTCCCAGGTTCAAGCGATTCTACTGCCTCAGCCTCCCAAGTAGCTGGGACCACAGGCACGTGCCACCATGCCTGGCTAATTTTTTTTTTTTTTTTTTGAGATGGAATTTCGCTCTTGTTGCCCAGGCTGGAATGCAATGACGCAATCTCCAGCTCACCACAATCTCCACCTCCTGGGTTCAAGCAATTCTCCTGCCTCAGCCTCCCGAGCAGCTGGGATTACAGGCCACCACACCACCGAGCTAATTTTGTATTTTTAGTAGAGATGGGATTTCTCCATTTTGGTTAGGGTGGTCTCGAACTCCCAACCTCAGGTGATCCGCCCGCCTCGGCCTCCCAAAGTGCTGGGATTACAGGCGTCAGTCACCGCACCCGGAGTTTTTTTTTTGTAGTTTTACTAGAAGACAGGGTATCACTATGTTGGCCAGGCTGGTCTCGATCTCCTGACCTTGTGATCCGCCCGCCTCGGCCTCCTAAAGTGCTGGGATTACAGGCGTGAGCCACCGCACTTGGCCTCGCTAGCTTTATACTATGCCTTACTGAAGAATTCAGAACTTAATTTTTTTTTAAGATGCAGTATCCTTTAGAAACATTTTCCTAATGGGCTTGAATGGAAATGGTGCTGGATTCCTGGATGGCATCACTCCCTAACAGAAAGGGGTAGACAATGGCCTCCTTCATGGAGAGCTCTTGGAGAGCAGCTCTGAGGACTGTGCCATCTGCATCTTCCCAAGTTTAGGGCCTAGCACGAAGTCGCAGGCACTGCTCTAAGGAGTTTGTACATCCAAACACATTTAAATCCCTGCTTTACGGATAAGGGAACTGGCTCTCAGGGAAATGGAGTGACTGCCCAAGTCCACAGAGCTTGAAAGTATGAGACCCAGATTTGGACTCAAGCAGTTTGACAGCAAAGCCTGGGCTCCTGCCCACTGTTGTGCTATCTAATATAGTGCTCAATGAGTTCGTTCAGTGTTATGAAAGATCCTATGCCTCCTACTTTTTTAAACTTTTAAGTTCAGGGGTACCTGTGCAGCATGTGCAGATTTGTTTTATAGGTTAACTTGTGTCGTGGGGGTTTGTGGTACAAATTTGATCACCCAGGTATTAAGCCTAGAACCCATTCATTATTTTCCTGATCCACTCCCTCCTCCCATCCTCCAATCAGTCCCCGAGTGTGTTGTCCCCTGCGTGTGTCTATGTGTTCTCATCATTTGGCTCCCACTTTTAAGTGAGAACATGCGGTATTTGGTTTTCTGTTCCTGCTTTAGTTTGCTGAGGATAATGTGTATGTCTCCTACTTAATAGAAAAAAGTCAGCAGGTATAGTCAACTTCAACCTTCTTTCTCCTACAGTCTATGAAACATACGTACATCTTTATCTTCACCATCTGCCTTTCCTCCAGTCTCAGAAAAGAAGGTTCCCCTCTCTCAGTTCAAGGCCAGCTCTTCCCGGTACCTTTGACCCCATCTCTTCCTGTTTTCTCTGGACTTCATCAGTTATTCTATTTTGGAACTTTAATCTCTTAATCTCTCCTCTCCTTACTTTCTCCTCCTTACCCTCTTTCTCCTCCCCACCCATCAACCTGCTCAAGATCTAAGAGAATCCCCACTAGGGAACCCAACATTGATCTTTCCAGCCCCTCTTCAACCATTATCCTCTCTCTCCTCCCTTTCAAGCTTCTGGAAAGGACACTTCTCACCTCCTCTTACCTCCCCTTCTTTTTTTTTTTTTTTTTTTGAGATGGAGTTTTGCTCTTGTCGCCCAGACTGGAGTGCAGTGGCACGATCTCTACTCACTGCAATCCCTGCCTCCCAGGTTCAAGTGATTCTTCTGCCTCAGCATCCTGAGTAGCTGGGATTACAGGCAACTGCCACCACACCCTGCTAATTTTTGTATTTTTAGTAGAGACGGGGGTTTCACCATGTTGGCTAGGATGATCTCGAACTCCTGACCTGGTGATCCGCCTGCCTTGGCCTCCCAAAGTGCTGGGATTACAGGCATTAGCCACCAGGCCCGGCCTCCCATTCTTGTCTCAACAGGTTACGATCTGATTTCTACCCTCACTATGCTATTCAAACTTCACTAAGTTCACCAGTACATTCCCAATTGCTAGATGTTTCCACGTTTTAGTCACTGAAATGCTATGCTGCACTTGATTTCTCTCTACCCCTTGAACTCCTCATTCACTTGGCTTCCTGAGGTCGGCTCTGCCCTCAGCACTCTACCAATTCTGCCTGTGAGACCCATCCGCTCTCCTCCATTCAGGTGACCACCTTTCATAAAGGGAAATCTTTTTTTTTGAGATGGAGCTTCGCTCTCGTCGTACAGGCTGGAGTGAAATGGCACAATCTCGGCTCACTGCAACCTCTGCCTCCCGGGTTCAAGTGATTCTCCTGCCTCAGCCTCCAGAGTAGCTGGGATTACAGGCGCCTGTCACCACGCCCAGCTTTTTTCTTTTTTTAGGAGAGACAGGGTTTCACCATGTTGGCAAGGCTGGTCTCCAACTCCTGACCTCAGGTGATGCACCCGCCTCAGTCTCCCAAATGCTGGGATTACAGGCGTGAGCCACTGCACTGGGCCCATAAAGGGAACTCTTATCTGGGATCTTAGTACCACCTTATCTAAGGGGGACGGATGTTACCCATATAGATTCTTAGCTACCTGAGGGCAAAACTGTTTTATGCACAGCCTGCCACGTAGACAAACAATAGATATCTGTTGAACAAATTACCCCTCATCAGCTGCGCTTCACAGATGTCTAAGCGTTTCTGTAGGTGTGTCCGAATGTTTATAGAAATACTGTAACCATTGTGCAGAGTGTTACAGATGTTCAGAGAAGGAACTATCATTTTTGGCTGGGTAAGAATTTTTGGCAGTGATAGCACTTGAGCTGGAAATAGTGGAAGTAAAGTCCAGGTGCAGGGAAGGGAGGGGAGGAGTAAGAACATTCAACTCTCATGACAGAGACTGGAGAACAGCAACTAGAGGGACTCTGTGGAAACATCAAGTTTGAATAAGGGAATAGAAGATTCAACTAAAAAGATAGCTAGGAGGCCGGGTGCGATGGCTCACGCCTGTAATCCCAGCACTTTGGGAGGCCGAGACTGGCGGATCACCTGAGGTCAGGAGTTGGAGACCAGCTTGGCCAACATGGTGAAACCCCACCTTTACTAAAAAAATACAAAAATTAGCCAGCTGTGGTAGCATATGCCTGTAGTCCCAGCTACTTGGGAGGCTGAGGCAGGAGAATGGCTTGAACCCAGGAGGCAGAGGTTGCAGTGAGCAGAGATGGCGTCACCACACTCCAGCCTGGGCGACACAGAGAGACTCCATCTCCAAAAAACAAAAAAGATGGGTAGGAAATACACATGAGGAGGGCCTGAAGTCTCAGCTAAGGAGTGCTGGGATTACTCCATAGGCAGGGAGGAGCCTAGACTACACAGGTAGGTGTTCAGTCATCCTATCTGGTGGCAGAGCGGCTGCTGGATTGAAGCATCACACTGGAGGTGAACAGACCGTGGGACACGCCAGTGAGCAAAATGAGAGGCTGACACAGGGCAGCAGCACTAAAATGACAAGAAAACAGTTGTAGTACTTGACAGATTTCATCAAATCTAATAAATCCGTATGTATGTACATATATATAGACACACACGAATTTTAACGTTTTATTATCATTACAGAGACAGTGCCTCACTCTGTTGCCCAGGCTGGAGTGCAGTGGCATGATTAGAACTGACTGTAACCTTGAACTCATGGGCTCAAGCGCTCCTCCCGCCTTGGCTCCCAAAACCCTGGGATTAGCAGACATGAGCCACCACACTGGCCAAATTTTAACATCTTTGTTATTGAAATACAAATGTTTTAATTTATTTGCCAGCATTTTTTTTAACAATACATAAAATATTACCGTATCTTAAAGTTGATGTTGTCTTAGATTCAATGAAATATGATAACTGGGTGTGAATAAGAAGGAATTCAAAAGCAAAGTTTCAAACCTGGGTGACTGGAAGGGAGTTTCCTTGACCCCCATAGGAGAGTCTAACCCAATCTTCTATTTGAGCAATGATCGCCAGACAACACTGCCCGCGCACCTTCCACAGTTGCACTTATTAATAAGAGGAAGTAGTTATTAATGACAACTTTAATAGGAACATGCGTTGAACCCTCAAGAAAGTGTCACAACTGAAAGACGGGAGCAAGCTGACACTGCAAGCACATGATGCTCTGGAATGGGTGGCCTGCTGATTCTGGATCCAGCTGGTATTCAAACACATCAAAGCAGCAGTCATTTGAACAATCGGAACTTCTTCAAATACTGGCCCACTTCTTCCTTGGGGTAGGGCCGGAGAGCAATGCAAGTGGCGATATTCTCTGGTTGCTCAAGCCACAGCATGTGGTCAATGTTCTTCTGTTGCAGGGTCTCGGCCAGCTCCTTTAGGGTGGTCTCATCTGGGGCCTAAAGGAGAAGAACATAGAACACAAACTGAATAGCCCACTTAGGAAGTGTCAAAAGGCCAAAAAGGGTTTCGGGAGTCCTCTTCACTGAAAGTGGAGTGACAGCTTTACCAAGGAGGGAGCTGCAGAGCAACGATGTCATTCCTTGGTGCACTGAGGAGGGGAGAGAGGCCTCCTATTCCTGTTTAGACAATGGAGATTTGTATCTTCCCTCGTGAGATGTCGTGTGCCCAACATCCACATGTGTAATGTGTAATTCTGCTCTACACGTTTTCCAGCTCTCCTATGGCTGGTGCCCATAATTTTAAATGCCTCTGACTTTAACCACTGCCTAGTGGAAGTTTTTTTTTTTTCTTTTGAAACAGAGTCTTGCTCTGTCACCCAGGCCAGAGTGTAGTGGCACGATCTCGGCTCACTGCAGCCTCTGCCTCCCAAGTTCAAGTGATTCTCCTGCCTCAGCCTCCCGAGTAGCTGGGATTACAGGCGTACACCACCACACCTGCCTAATTTTTGTATTTTTAGTAGAGACGCGGTTTCACCGTGTTGCCCGGGCTGGTCTGGAACTCCTGACCTCAAGTGATCCACCCGCCTAGGCCTCCCAAAGTGCAGGGATCACAGGCGTGAGCCACCGTGCCCAGCCCCTAGTGGAAGGATTTCTAAAAGCACATCCACTTCCACTTCCCTCCACCCCTCCCACTCTACCTCACTGAAACCTAAAGGGGTTTTCCTTTTGCTGGGATAGCTCCCACTTGTTTATTAAACGGAGAGTACAATATTCTCTAACATCCTTCTGAAATCGTTTCTGGGTCATCCTTACTGCCAATTCACCCATGATGAATCCCATTCCAGGAAGTGTTAAAACTATCACTCAGAAAATTATTATTTTCATGTTATTTTGCATAAAGTTTATCTTTTACCTATGAAGGCAGAAGCCACTAAGATAATCAGAGGCTGGTTTTAACAAATTAGAGAATGCCAGTATTGCTACTTTTAACCTGCTAAGGCCTTCCGGCAGAGCTCTGCTGGAGGACCCATCAGCTTCTTCAGCCTCGGGCAGAGGCACAGTACAGTGAGATACAGTGAGTCTCTGGAACCAGACGACCGGACTCCAAACTCTTGCTGACTGCGTGATCGTGGACAAGTTAGGCGACTTCGCTGGCCTCTTCGTCCCTTTATAAAATAGGAATAATGCTTCCTAGTGGGGATCAATGAAATTAGGCTCAGACCTGTGCCTGGCACATACTAAGCACTCAATAAACGTAGTTAATCCTGGTATTGTCTTATATTTTATTGGCCCTTCTGACTACAGCAGCACCTCAATGTAATCAGTAGCGACTCCTAAGTTCCCTTCTTGAGTCATGATTAACAACTAAGAATCATGAGACCCTCTTTTAAACTCAGGGGAGTCACTTAATCCCTGTGGGCTTCAGAGAGTTTCACCCGAGACAAGAGGAGTCTGAACCTGATTTCTTAAGACCTCTTAATAGGAAGAAAATCTAAGTGAAAAGTCAGCGGCTTCTGTTCTGCCTACTCAGATTCTCAAGGCATTTTTCCTACAGGTTAGCGCCTGATGTTTCACTATCCAGCAGTCATGTTTCTCTTGAAAGATAATCTGTCTTTGCCAGTCTTCCATGAAGGTATTACTCCACCCCTCCACCTGAGTTCTGGCTTCATTACTTTAAAGCCGTTTTTCCTTATTATAAAATATGTGCTTAAGGTAGAAAATTTCAAAAATACAGATAAGCATTAGGAAATAACCAAAATCTCACCATGCACTACTTAATATTTAGATATCTTTCCTTAGTTTTTCCTTTCAAAGTCTGGATCATTCTGTACATATAGTTCAGTTAGCTTCGCACCATGAGCACTCTTCCAGCCCACTAAATACGCTTCAAAAACGTAAGGGCTCCCATGAACATCCTTGTGCAAAGCTCTTTGGGTCCATCTGATTATTTTCTTAGGCTACATCTCTAGCAGCAGGAGAGACAGAGTCAAAGGGTAAGGGTGAGATTTGTTTGGTTATCTGCAAACAGAACTTGACTGCTATTTTAAAAGGTGCACCGATTTACACCCCTGGTGACTGGTCTATCTGAAGCTAGGTTCAAATAAGGCTTTTAGTGTTTATTTTCAAATACTTTGGCGTCCTACCCAGGTAAATACTCCATTTGACTTCACTTTGCACTGTCCCCACGGCGAGAAGGAGCTCGCTCTGTCCCCTCGGGCTCGGTTTTGCTGGAGGACAGCACTTTGGCGCATGACTTTAAAAGGTCGGCCAGTGCACAGGCGGAACGGCGGGGACACAGGCGGCGCCATTTCACCGCGAGCCCAGAAGGGGGCGGACGACTGCTCTCCACTCTTCACACAGTCAGGCCCTCCCCAAGGACGCACCTCCAGGGAAATAGCTCCAGTCTAAATGTTAACGATCAACCCAACCCCCGCCGCACCCACTCCCCGCAGCTAGGGCCTTCGGACCGAAGATCACACCCACTTCCGCCCTCGACGTCTCAGCACCTCCCCCTCCGCCCGAGTGCCTCACCTCAAGGACCACTTTGCGCATGCGCCCCAGCTCTTGGAGGTAAGCGGCGGTGTGCGGGTGGTCGCGGTGAGTGTGCAAGGCCGCGGTGGCCGCGTGACAAGCCTGCGCCACCAGTGCGCCCGCCGGCCAGGAGAACGGAGCTTGTTATAGATCCTTTCGTAACACCAAGTATTGTACCAGGACCTGCGGCTCCGCCCCAGAGGCCGCCATCTTCCTCACCACCCGAAAGGCCGGACCTACTCCCCGGTGCATCCTGGGATCAGGGCGGGGCCCTGAGCGCCGCCATGTTTTTGTACGGCAGGATCGCAAAGCACGCCGGGACCGGTTGGCTTGGTTTTGAAGACGTGGATGGCGGGAATTCTCGCCCCCTGGCCTGGGTGAGCTAGAAAGGAGAAGGTAGGGGAAAGACCCAGTGTCTGACGGGACTGTGGCCAGGGTGGCGGGCTGAACGGCCTTCTTAAAACTCCTTCCGTAGCTGTGAAGCCTGCTGGACCAGAGTAGCCGTGGCCTCGGGAGCGCGCCGGGGCCGCGGGGTGGGCGCGGGGGTGGGCGTGGAGTCTGCTGGCTCGGGCGCTGGGAGAGGGCTGGCGGCTCAGGAAAGGGGATCCTAGCCGTGACGTTTGTGTCATCCGCGGCCCAGGGGTTGTGCCTGAGTGGTGTGTGCCCTGCCGTCTGGGTTTGAATGGGACTAGATGCGATATGACTCTGTTGCCATTTTTCTTTTATCAGCAAGGACATTGAGGTCCCTATCACCGCTTGCCTAGACAACTTCATGGGAAGGCCCTTGGCAATCTGAGATGGAGCAGGCGAACCCTTTACGTCCAGATGGCGAGTCTAAAGGAGGTATTGAGAGGGCCGCCGCCTTCCCCTTCCTGCTGCTGCCCAAAGCTGATCCGCAGGCTGAGAGAGCCCTTTCCTCCTGGAACTGACGTGGGACCTGACCTGTTTGGGAGCAGAATGGTGAAAGGAACTAACATTGAAGACAAAGGGACAGGCAGCCAGGATTATTCGAGGAGGAAAATGGCTTCGTTTCTAGGCTCCCACCTCTTTTGAAACGGATTAAGTTGCATCCATCATATGCTCAGTGTTTCTATTCTGAACTGCGGTTCTAGTCAGGGAGGTTTCTTTCCTCTCCCCGGGTTTTTTGGGCCATTTATGCATTACTGCTGAGGGAGGGCCAGTGCAGGGCAGTGACTGTAGTGTTGGTTAGAACTGGATTTGAGTCTTGGCTCTGCCATGATAAATAAAGGGCCCTTAGGCAAGTCACTTTATTCTCTGCCTCTGTTTCTTCATCTAGAAAATGGAGGTGAAAATGGCACGGTAGTTGTAGTTGTGGAAAAAGTATTTCTTTTCAAACTTTTCAAGTGAAGCATTTAGCACATGTCTAATATATAGGAAATACTCAGTGAAAGGCTTTGTAAGTCTTAAAAAGTAGAAAGTGTTTAAAGAATTTATTGTTAGAGTTGCTTAGAATTATGAAACTATTACTTAGTCCTTAGTCAATCCTTTGGAAACTGAGATTTGCATCTGAATTTCTGTCCAGAAGGAAGTTGCTTTCTTCTGTAGTGCCCGGTAATATTTGTGGACAGTTCTGGTTTTGTGTTGCTTTATGTCCTGTGCTATTAATACTTTTTAGAACTTTGGCATATTTAAGCCTGATGCCTAAATCCAGAGGGTTCTACATTAGTACTTTGGGAAAGCTTGCCATAAAACCCAACTTTAAAAATAACTCTATAGTTTTAAAAAGAATTCTGAGTTTGTCAGTGAATTTGGTGATCCTGTTTTTCTCTGGGCCATCATTATCATTGATAACTGTGAAGTAGCTATATTCAGCTTAAGATGACTTAAGCTGAGACTGTAGATAGTAAAAGTATATAGGGTAAGATTTACTGTTACTTTAAGACTAAAAATAAGTTTGGTGACTTTGTGTAGTGGAAACATGCTACACTCAGGAGTAACCTGTTCTCTAGTCCAGGCCTAATTTTGTTTCTATTAAAATAAACGATGAGGTGGAAGTTTTGGATTATCAAGAGACTTAGACCCGTCTCCTTATTCTCTACCGAAAACAATATTTAAACATTTAGCTGTTACCCATACTGGTTTTCTCCCTCTGCTTGGGTGATTTCAGCTTTTGGTTTATTATTTGAATTGTCCCCACTCATTTCGGAAGGAAGGACATGGAATTTTAGTTGCAACCAGATTATTTATTCAAATAGGCAGGGATTTTGACCTTTTTTGTAACCTTTTTTGGGAAAAAGCTGACTGGCTAGGGTGAGATGTCATAACTTCCAAGGTAAAGCAGGCCCAGCAGATACACTCCCTCTTTTCTCTAGTAGCAACGGTAAACAACAACGCTGCCCCCTTGGTGTAGAGGGGATCAGGTCGGTAAAGAAGCTGGGCAGGTTTGAAAGCCTGAGAGGAGAGCTGTGTGGAAATGCCTAGAGAAGCAGCAGCATGATACTGTTTTGAACACCTACTTATCTCAGAAACTTTGGGAACATTGATATCTCCTGTTTTAGTAATGTAGAATTTCCATAAAGGAGAATTTGGTCAGGCATCTCCTGTACCACCCTAAATTAATCTATGTGTGTGTGCTTTTCAGATCACCTGGTTGGACAGTAAATAATTTTTGTAAGCTCCATGAAGACAGGGACATCATTTTGCCACTGTAGTATGAATAACTTCCGGCACGGTCCTTGGTCCATAGTAGATTCTCAATACATAGTTGTTGGATAAATAGAGACTTGTGAATAAAGCAGTTAATCACATGCTAATTGTTAGGACTAATTTATTTAATTTGAATTTTGGTTTTTCACGATTATTATTGTAGTATTGTGGATTTTTCTGTGGACATGAGCCAAGTGAATGTAATCTCCAAGAGTGTCATGCTTGGTTGTCTGTGTTTCAGTAAATATTTCTGGGGTGTTGGCCAGGCGTAGTGGCTCTCCTGTAATCCCAGCACTTTGGGAGGCCAAAGCGGGCGGATCACAAGGTCAGGAGTTCAAGACTAGCCTGGCCAACATAGTGAAATCCCATCTCTACTAAATATAAAAATTAGCCGGGCATGGTGGCACGTGCCTGTAGTCACAGCTAATCGGGAGGCTGAAGCAGGAGAATTGCTTGAACCTGGGAGGTGGAGGTTGCAGTGAGCTGAGATCGCGCCACTGCACTCCAGCTTGGGCAACAGAATAAGACTTCGTCTCAAACAAACAAACATTTCCAGAGTGTTTACTGTGTGTCAGACATTGTGCTAGGGTTAAAGGATCCATGGGTGAACACAAATGCACACGGCCCCTGATTTTGGAGCTTTAAGGTTCAGCGGGAAAGATAAGCAAATCAAATAATCTCACTAATGAATATACAATTAAAAGTATAGTGGCCGGGTGCGGTGGCTCACACCTGTAATCCTAGCACTTTGGGAAGCCGAAGTGGGAGGGTCGCTTGAGCTCAGGAGTTTGAGACCAGCCTGGGAAACATAGTGAGACCCCATCTCTTTTATTTAAAAAACAAAAACAAAAAAACTATAGTATTGTCTCAGAAGGATCTTTGAGAGCTTATGAGCTGGCACCTGGCCTTGTTCTGAAGGTGCTGCAAAGGTTTCCCTGAGGAAATGCTGTTTGCACTGAGTGCTAACAAGCTACAGTAGTACAGGTGAAGGTGGGTAAGGGGCAGCTGTGGAAGAGCCTTTGGTGTGCCTGTTGCGGGGCGGGGATCAGGTCAGTAAAGAAGCTGGGCAGGTTTGAGAGCCTGAGAGAAGGCCTGTGTAGAAGTGCCTAGAGAAGGAGCAGCATGATACTGATGAGGGTAGGAAAGATCCAGAGGCCAGTAGGCCTTGTAGGCAGTGTGAAGTCATCGAAAGGCTTTAGCCAGCTGGATGACACGATCCAGTTTAGATTTTGAAATATGCTTTCAGTGTATGGGCCACCTAGGAAACTTGTAATAGTCCAGAAATGGTGGTAGCTTGAACTACAATGGTGGCATTGCAGATGGGGAAAATGGAAATATTTTAGAGATACTAGGAATGTATATTCAATAGGATTTGGTAATGGATTGGGACTGGGGCAGGAAGAAGGTGTAAGGAAGCAAGTACCTGGTTTACACAGCTGTAAATGGTTCTAGTCACTGAGGGGTTTGGAAGGGGAGATGGTGAATTCAGTCTTGGACATGTTGATTGTCAGGTTCCTGTGAGTCTTCCAAGTAGATACACTGAGAAGGCAGGTGGGTATTCTGCTTTCCCAAGAAGCAGGAGAGAGGTATAAGCTAGAGATACATATTTGCGAGGCATCGACATGTATGGCCATTAAGGCTGTGGGTAGTGATGAGATTTCTTCTGGAGAGAAGAGGTCTTAGGACTGAGCTCCAGAAAATGTCAGCATTTAATGATCAAGGAGGAGAGTAGGAGCCTGCAAAGCAGAAAGAGGGGTCAGACAGGTAAAATATAAGTGTCACAAAAACAAGTAGTTTGTCTCTTGGTCATCACTACATTCAGTGCCTGAAATAGTGCTTGGCACAAAATAGATGCTTAATAAACATCTGTTGAACAAGGCAAACCAAGAGGTTGGTATGCTAAGATTCAAAGGAAAAGAGGGTTTCACGAAGGTGGTGATCAGCAGAAGCATATAGTGCTGGGAGGTGAGATAAGGGAGCTTGAAAAATGTGCTTTGGGTTCAGCAACATTGACATCACTGTTGATCTTGGAGTAGTTTTGTAAAATAATGGGAACAGAAGTGAGTTTCAAGTGGATTGAGATATGAGTCACAGGCAAGGAAATGGAGAAAGTGAGTACAGGTTGAGCACTGAAAATCCAAAATCTGAAATACTCCAAAATCTGAAGCTTTTTGAGTACTGACATGATGCTCAAAGGAAATGCTTATTTCCAGTTTTGGATTTTCAGATATGGGATGTTCAGCCAGTAAGTATAATGCAAATATTCCCAATTCCGAAATCTGAAACACCTCTAGTCCCAAAACTTTTGGATAAATGATACTCAACTTGCATGGACAACTCTTTTAAGTAGTTTTCCTGGCAAGGAAAGGGGAGAAAAGGGAGATGGTAGCTGAAGGGGATTTGTGGGCAAGAACAGGCCTGTGAGTGTATGAAATATGTGTGTATGAGTGTGTGTGTGAGTGTATGAGTGTGTGTGAGTGTATGAAATGTGTGTGTATGAGTGTGTGTGTGTGTATGAGTATATGAAATGTGTGTGTATGAGTGTGTGTATGTTTGAAGACAGTTGAGACTTGAGCGTGTGTGGAAGGGAAATGAACACAGCAGAGAAAAGGGTAACCGATCATCTAGAGTTTCTGAGAAAGCAAGAGGGGATAGGCCTCAATGAGTAAGATAGGATAATTTTGCATATAGTGTGTGTCTGTTTCTATTTGATCTCACCCAATTTTTTTTTTTTTTTTTTTGAGATGGAGTCTGTCACCCAGGCTGGAGTGCAGTGGCCGGATCTCGGCTCACTGCAAGCTCTGCCTCCTGGGTTCATGCCATTCTCCTGCCTCAGCCTCCCGAGTAGCTGGGACTACAGGTGCCCGCCACCATGCCCAGCTAATTTTTTGTGTTTTTAGTAGAGACAGGGTTTCACCATGTTAGCCAGGGTGGTCTTGATGTCCTGACCTCGTGGTTCACCAGCCTCGGCCTCCCAAAGTGCTGGGATTACAGGCGTGAGCCACTACACCCGGCCCGATCTCACATAGTTTTTTAAATGTTTTTATTAGCGGTAAACACTCTTAAGAGGTTTCTAGTCTTAATTCGATAGGTGAATAAGTTTTTGGATTCCATTCCAAGGCAAGGAAAGAAGATTAAGATTTTCATATATGTTTATGCATATGAACCCTACAAAACAGATGCTGGGTGTACTTAAGAAGCTCGATTAAATAAAGTCTGGGACTTTCTTTTTTGTTTGTTTGTTTTTTTGAGACAGAGTCTATCTCTGTCCCCCAGGCTGGAGTGCAATGGCGCGATCTCAGCTCACTGCAACCTCTGCCTCCCAGATTCAAACAATTCTCCTGCCTTAGCCTCCCTAGTAGCTGGGATTACAGGCATGCGCCACCATGCCCAGCTAATTTTTTGTAATTTTAATAGAGATAGGGTTTCGCCATGTTGGCCAGGCTGGTCTTGAACTCCTGACCTCAGGTGATCCAACTGCCTCGGCCCCCAAGAGTGCTGAGATTACAAGTGTGAGCCACCGCCCTCAACTGTGAGAGGGCTTCTCTCCAGCCGGTGGTAAAGCTAGAGAATCATCCTTTACACACTAGAGATGTGGATTTGTGGTAAACTGCAGACCTAGATAAGACACTGCTGCCTAATCAGCGTGTGATGGTTCATATCCTTTCTCGGGCTCTCTTTGAAGAGGATCCTGTTTTACATCACTCTTCAACCTAGGAGGTTGATGATCTTTGATTTCAATTGTTAGCTCCCCTGCTTTTATAAATTGACAGATATCTAACAATTCAGCTGGCCATAAAGTTCTGGTGAAAAAGAGTCACCTGTTCTTCCCTGAGCTACTTCCTGTTGCCACAGTGAGAAATCCTCGGCTTGTAAAATTCTCCTTTTACTCTCCTTAGGTGTTTTAGCTCACTTGGAAAGGCTAGAGAACCAAATGAGCAGATCCCGTAAACAGTCTGAAGAGCCGCAGAGCGTGCAGGCCCAGGAACGTGTTCTTGGAACCAAGATTCAGAAACTAAGGCATCTGCGAGATGATCTGAGGGCTGCGGTGCGGCACCGGCGAGGCAGCGTGAGTAGAAGGGTGGTGTCAGCAGTTCCTTTAGAGTATAATGAGCAAATGTGATTTGGGAATTGGTGAATTGGCAATTTTTAATAATGTGTTTTACTTGTGATCTTACTGGATTGATTGTAGTCCTTGATCCCTCAAATGATCAAACTTGTGGAGTTTGGCCAGGCGCGGTGGCTCATGCCTGTAATCCCACACTTTGAAAGGCCGAGGCAGGCCTATCACCTGTGGTCAGGCGTTTTGAGACCAGCCTGGCCAACATGGCGAAAACCTGTCTCTACTAGAAATACAAAAATTAGCCGGGCGTGGTGGCACGTGCCCGTAATCCCAGCTACTCAGGAGACTGAGGCACGAGCATTGCACCTGGGAGGCGGAGGTTCCAGTGAGCTGAGATCGAGCCACTGCACTCCAGCCTGGGAAACAGAGCGAGACTCCGTCTCAAAAAAAAAAAAAAAAAAAATCCTGTAGAGTTACAGTGAATATCACCTAATATTGGTCAGGCACTACTGGTAAGCCAGGCAAGTTCTTCCTGCCAGGTTCTTAACCTGCCCTAATAAACACCTAAGTTTGTTACCTCAATCATAAACATATTAGGTCTATACCTAGTAGAATTACTGGGTCATACGATATGCATATTAGGTTTAGTAAATACTGCCAGTTTTTGAAAGTGATTGTACTAGTTTTACATTCCCAGCAATAGTTGTATAAGTTTTCCATTGTTTTGCATTTTTACCAGTACTTGTAGTGGCTTGCCTTGAGTTGTTGATACTTTAGTCATTAGTGACATCTGTCACCCAGACTCAACCTCCTAGGGAGCTTGACCCTTCCCTTTTTTCAGTTTTCTCTCTAGCCTAGGTTCAGTCAGCAAGACCTATCAGATTTTTCTTTTATATAGTCTTTGTCCTTCCTCCATTGCCACAGCTCAAATATTAGCCATATATGGAGTAAATATCAGGTGATTTGGATACCAGGATTATGACAGTAGTCTGCCAGTTGGTGCATCTTCTCGTATTTCTGCTTTTCCAATAAATCCTGCACAGCCAAGAAAATGCTTCATGAAACACTGCACCATTGCTCTGCTCAAAAGCCATCAACAACCCTTAATTGCCCATGGGATATCAGCCTTCCTCCCCGTCTTCCTTTTCCACCTATATCTCTCTTCCTTCCTCCCTTCTTCCTTTCTTTTTTTTTAAAATTGTAATATATATAAAGTGCACAAATCTGATGGACTTTGTTACAAAGTTAGCACAACCAGGTAACTACAACAGTGATTCAAGTATAGAGCATTACCAGTACCCCAGAAGCCTCCAGTTTGCCTCTTCTAGTCATATCTCTTAAGGTACACGCTATTCTGATTTCTGTCACCATACATAGGTTTTACCTGATTTTGAACTTTATATAAATGTTAAAAAGCACTAACTCTTACGTCTGGCTTCTTTTGCTGAATATTATGACTGAGATTCACCTACATTTTGCTTATAGTGGTCATGTTTTTTATTGCTATATAGCAATTCTATTTTATGAGTATACTACAACTTGTTTACCCATTCTACTGTGATGACATTTGGGTTATTGGGGTTATTTCACTTTGGGATCATTATGAATGTTGTCACTATTAACATTTTGTGTGTTTCTGTCCTTTGGTATAAAAATATACACTTATATATTGGGTGTATGCCTAGTAGAATTGTTGGTTAGTAGGATATGCATATTAGGTTTAGAAAATTCTGGCAGTTTTTGAAAGTGAGTGTATCACTTTTACATTCCCAGCAATAGTGTTCAAGATTTCCATTGTTTTGCATTTTTACCAATACTTGCTATTGTCAGTTTTTAAAATTTGCCATTCTGGTGGGAGTGTAATAATATCTCATTTTGGACTGAATTTGCATTTGCTTCATAACCAGTGATGGGGAATCCCTGTATTGAACATTTGAAAATCTTCTGTTGCGAAGTGTGCTTTTTTCAAGGCTTTTGTGAACTTTTTATTAGGTTGTCCATCTATTAAATTGTAGAAATCTTTACATATTTTGAATGAGTTCTTTGTTGGGTATCTGTATTAGAGTCTTCCTTAGACTGTGGCTTGTCTTCATTCTCTAATGGTGTCTTGCGATGAAAATCTTTGTTTTAATGAAGTTTGATTTAGGAGTTAAACTTTATTCTTAGTGCCCTTGTTTCTTGTTTAATAAATCTTTGTCTAACTTAAGATCATGCTGATCTTTTCCTGGTATTTTCTATTTTATTTTTTTTTGGTTTTTGAGACAGGGTCTCACTTTGTTGCCCAGGCTGGAGTGTAGTGGCACGATCCGGCACCCTCCGCCTCCTGGGTTCAGACGATTCTTCTGCCCCAACCTCCCGGGTAGGTGGGTTTATGGGCATGTGCCTGGTTAATTTTTGTATTTTTAGTAGAGATGGGGTTTCACCATGTTGGCCAGGCTGATCTCGAACTCCTGACCTCAGGTGATCCACCCACCTCAGCCTCCCAAAGTGCTGGGATTACAGGCGTGAGCCACCGCACCCGGCTTTTTTATTTCTAGTTTGCTAAGAGTTTTAATCATGATATTATGCTATTAAATTTTATCAGATATTTTTACTGCATATATTAAGGGAATCATGTTTTCTCCCTTATTAATTTGTTATATATTGATTGCTATTTAAATGATAAATTGCCCTCACATTCTCATAGTAAACCTAATTTGGTTTGATGTATTATCTTTTTAATATAATTCTAAATCTGACTTGCTGATATTAGTTATTAGAACTTTTGCATCTAAATTCATGAGAGAGATTGCCCTATGATTTTTTTGTAATAACTTTGTCAGGTTTTGGCATCAAGTTTTATGTTGCTCTTAGAGACATTTTCCTTTTTTTTTTTTTTCTATTCTTTGAAAGACTTTATATACTATTGGTGTTATTTTTTCTTACATTTTGTTAAGGAATTCCCCGGTGAAGCTCTTTGGCCCTTCTCTGTGGGAGGGTTTTAATTTCTGATCCGATTTCTTTGATCAGCATAAGCTGTTCAGATTTCCTGTTTCTTCTTGGGTCACTTTTGGTATGTTGCATTTTGCAGTTTGTTCATTTTATGTAAACTCGCATTTAAAGTTTGAAATTTTTTTTTTTGAGACGGAGTCTCGCTATGTCGCCCAGGCTGGAGTGCAGTGGGGTTTTTTTGTTCGTTTGTTTGTTGTTGTTTTTTTTAAATTCAATGATGAGTATTGCATATGAAAAAATATATGGAGGCCAGGTGCAGTGGCTCACACCCGTAATCTCAGCACTTTGGGAGGCCAAAGTGGGTGGATCACCTGAGGTCAGGAGTTCGAGACCAGCCTGGCCAACATGGTGAAACCCCATCTCTACTAAAAATACAAAAATTAGCCAGGTGTGGTGGTGGGTGTCCGTAATCCCAGCTACTCCAGAGGCTGAGGCAGGAGAATCACTTGAACCCGGGAGGCAGAAGTTGCAGTGAGCCAAGATCGAGCCATTGCACTCCAGCCTGGGTAACAAGAGCAAAACTCGGTCTGGAAAAAATAAAGGAAGGGAACGGGAGGTGAGGGGAGGCGATATGGGTTCTGAGTATGTTATCTTCCTCCAGAGGAAATTTTAGTTTTTCTGGCAAGTAGATAGCATATGGGCACATCACCTTTATTCAGTTGAAGTGGTCTGTTTCCGGTTTCCGTTGCTCCTAGGGGCATAGCTTTTTTTAGGACCTTCAACTGAAGGTTTGGGAGTGTGTTGGAGACGGGTCTATTAAGGCTCCTCTTCCCTGGCAGGCCCTGAAATCCACATTTTGTTCTAGCAAAATCTCTGCTTGGCTTTTTTCCCCTTTAGCAGCTTATTTTTTTTTGAGACAGAGTCTCGCTCTGTCGCCCAGGCTAGAGTGCAGTGGCACGATCTCGGCTCACTGAAACCTCCACCTCCCGGATTCAAGCAATTCTCCTTCCTGCCTCAGCCTCCTGAGTAGCTGGGGTCACAGGTGCACGCCACCACACCCGGCTAATTTTTGTATTTTTAGCAGAAACAGGGTTTCACCATGTTGGTCAGGCTGGTCTCAAACTCCTAACCTCGTGATCCACCCACCTCAGCCTCCCAAAGTGCTGGGATTACAGGCGGGAGCCACTGTGCCGGGCCGAGCAGCTTCTTTCCATGTGGTTTCTCAGTCCCCAATCACACCTGTGCAGTTTAGGAATTAGCAAATGCCGGGAGGGCAGATTGCAAGCAGAATGTTGAGTTCCCTTTTCTATGGGATCTTGGCCCATAGAAAGTCTGCTTTGATACCATTAATGTCCGGGGTTTATTCCGTATGGGACTGCTGCGGAGTCTAGCTTACACCTTTCTATGTGGCCCAGTGTGCCTTGCCTGTGAATAAGGAAATGCTCTGAGGCCAGAGGCTGCAGGGAAGCCAGCTGACTTCAGAGCATTTGTCACTCTTCTCCAATCCTGGCTAATTGGATCCTTGTGGAATGCCTTCAAACCATTTACTCTCTTTGCTTGCCTATTTCTTTTTGGTATTTTATCCACCTTGCGTAGTTCTCAGAGGGTGGGTTGGCCTGGTACCTTCTGCTGGGCTATAACTAGCAGCGTAAGCCTTGGAGCCCTGGCATTTGAAACCCCACACTGTCCAAGCCCAACTTACCCAGCCTTGCCTCTTCACAGCCACCTGTTTTGTCCACCCTGTGCTTAGCCTAGACTTTCCACACAACGTTTTCTTGCTACTCTCTCAGTTCTCCCCACCCATCAAAATTCGAATTGTTCTTCAGACCCATACAGTCTCCACTTCTGATTCCTGGCATTGTGACCCATGAGATTCTTCCTCTGCGGTAAACTCATAGCAATAACTGGCCGGCCACTGTAGCATTGATGTATCATATCATGTGCCCTGCATTTAGCTTTTATCCAGTTGGGTGAGGGTGGGGACGTTGTGGTGCACACCTTTGTACCTAGACTGATTTGCTGCATATCTTGCAGGTGAAAGCATGTATTGCCAATGTAGAACCCAACCGAATAGTGGAGGTCAGTGAGCAAGAAGCATTGGAAGAGAAACTGGAAAACGTGAAAGCCGTTCTGCAGGCGTATCATTTTACAGGTTTCGTTTGTTTTTTTAACCTAATTTAGTCTGGGTCTGTCTCTAGTGAGTTTGCTGATGTGTTATCAGTCCTGGACTTATTTCATAATGTATAGTATTTTACACCCTCTGCCCTCATCTCTCTCTCTGACACACACACACACACACACACACACACACATAATTTATAGTATTTTACACCCTCTGCCCTCATCTCTCTGACACACACACACACACACACACACACCACACACACACACACACACACACACACACCCCTGACATGCTATTTGTAGGCCTATCTTCACCTACAAGATTGGCTTCTTTGTACAGCAGCTGAGTTGGTGGCTGGCTTATTCCATTCATTTTAACAGTTTGTCATGTGCCAGACCCTGTACTATAACTGCCTTTACTGCTGGCTTGTTTTATGCTGCTAGTGAAATAGTTTGAACTTCTCAAGTCTCTGTTTCACCATAAGTAGGGATTTATTCTCCCGTCTATGCCACAAGATAATTGTGGGAAGAACTGGGGACTATGACAAATTATTTCACACTCAGAAAAAAAGAATAGCTATAAATTAAATTTTTGGCCTTGCACAGTGGCTCATGCCTGTAATCCCATCACTTTGGGAGGCTGAGGCAGGATTACTTAAGTCCAGGAGTTCGAGACCAGCCTGAGCAACATAGCAAGATCTCATTTCTACTAAAAATTAAAAAATGAGCCAGGTGAGGTAGCACGCACTTGTGGTCCCAGCTATTCGGGAGGCTGAGATGGGAGGATTGCTTAAGCCCAGAAAGTTGAGATTGCAGTGAGCTGAGATCGTGCCACTGCTCTCCGGCCTAAAAAAAAAAAACCAGAAAAATTTCTCAATAATTTGACATTTAGGATGTTTTTTCATTTTTACCATTCTTCCATGGTTTGAACAACTCAGTCTCAAAGTGAGCCGGAGTCAAGGGGAAGAATGAGCCTATGATACTCATTCAGCAAACATTTGTTTACAGAGTATACATATTCTGGGCACTGTGGAAGCTACTGGAGGCACAGATGAGTAAGATGTCACCTTGGCCTGCTGTCTGTTGAGGTGTCTTCTCGTTTGCCTCAGGCCTCAGTGGTAAGCTGACCAGCCGAGGAGTTTGTGTCTGCATCAATACTGCTTTTGAGGGGAACCTATTGGATTCCTATTTTGTGGACCTTGTCATACAGAAACCACTCCGGATACATCACCATTCAGTTCCAGTCTTCATTCCTCTGGAAGAAATAGCTGCAAAATACTTACAGACCAACATCCAGCACTTCCTGTTCAGTCTCTGCGAGTACCTGAATGCTTACTCTGGGAGGAAGTACCAGGCAGACCGGCTTCAGGTATCTCTCTGGGATGTTATATGCCTCATTTGTGGGCCCAAGATAAAAGGGGAAAGGGGGGATGTTTTTTGTATTTTCAGTGTTTCCTAACTCTGCGTTAGCAGTTTGACCATTACCTTTCCAATGCTGCTGCTTTATATAAAAGCACTATCCCACCCTCTTTTCTTTTGAAACTCTGGATGGCTTTGAAGCTTGGGTACTGGTTAAAGGATTATGCACCCCTGAATGGTGGTCTTCAAGCTTTTATCGTAAGATTGTACAGAGTGCAGTTGCTATACTTTTGATTCAACAAGGATTTATAGAGTGCCTGCTACGTACCGTACCAAGTGCCTTGCTGAACCTTGGGTATAGATCTCATTAGAAAGAGAAGGATTTCTGCAGTGCCATGGAAGAATGCTGTCCAACTTCCCCTAAACTCTACCCTACCTTTTTGGGTTGCAGTGGAGCTAAGTTTGGGTGAAAAAAGTAGTTGGGAAATGAATGCAGATGGCTGTAAGTGACTCCTACGAGCTTAGCATTTCCCCCTCTATGTATTTGGAATCACCCTGCAGCTCTCAGTCTTAGGTTTAACTTAAATTGAAATGTGGATGCAGTCATGAAGCATCTTAGCCATGTAACGTCAGTGAAGTTTTTGCAGCAACAGTCTCTTGTGGAGCTGTACCCCTGGCCATTTAGGCCTGTAGGGCTTTGCGGGCTGCCACTGACTCTTAGTTATCTTACACATCTTTTTCATTAGTCCTTTTTTCAGAACTTTTTCTGTCCCTCATTTATTTCTCTGAAATGTAATTGATGGGCCTCTTTTTGGTTGACATAATTGAAGTGTCAGTAAACACCACCTTTGGAACTGTAGTCATCCTGTACTTCGTTTTGTTCCTCACCCCTCTTAGAGTGACTTTGCAGCCCTCCTGACTGGGCCCTTGCAGAGAAACCCACTGTGTAACTTGCTGTCATTTACTTACAAACTGGACCCAGGCGGTCAGTCCTTCCCGTTCTGTGCTAGATTGCTGTATAAGGATCTCACAGCAACTCTTCCCACTGACGTCACCGTGACATGTCAAGGTAAGAAGGGTGCCTTGGTGCAGCAATTCTCATATCCCAGTTTATTCGAGTGAAGCAGGGAAAACAGGTAGAATCCATGAAGTAGGCCTCTTGAGACACTTTCTCTTTTTATATATAAGCTATGTGTTATTCAGACTGCTAAGACAGAACTTTTTTTTTTTTTTTTTTTTGAGATGGAGTCTGGCTCTGTTGCCCAGGCTGGAGTGGCAGTGGCGCAGTCTTGGCTTACTGCAAGCTCCGCCTCCTGAGTTGACGCCATTCTCCTGCCTCAGCCTCCTGAGTAGCTGGGACTACAGGCGCCCACCACCACGCCTGGCTAATTTTTTTGTATTTTTTAGTAGAGACGGGTTTTCACCGTGTTAACCAGGATGGTCTTGATATTCTGACCTCGTGATCTGCCTGCCTTGGCCTCCCAGAGTACTGGGATTACAGGCGTGAGCCACCGCACCCGGCCAGAACATTCTTGTTTCTACCAATCTTTTCCTTCCTCTTTGTAAATAGTAAACATGATTGTCCCCATTTTCCCTCCTCCTTTGCCCACCCACCTCTGCCAGTGTTCTTGCAGCCTATGATTGTTTTCATTGGGGGCCCTGCTTCAGGAAAGACACCTAATGATAAGGCTGAGTCATGGGTCAGTTATGGTGAATGGAGCCAGAAGACTCATTTCACTACGAAGACAAATGGACGTGACGTGTCAGCACACACTTACTCCTCCCTATGGAGCAGTCTCTTAAATGGAAATTCTTCCAGACTGGCTGAGAGACTTTTTGGTGAACCTGTTTCAGTTAAATGTGACATGGGCAATAATGAAAAATTGGGTACAATGTTTTTAGGAGGCAGAAATTTTGAAGCTGCCCCAGATTTCACACCATTGGTCTTTGATTTCTCTGGACAGTCTGATTCAAGTCCGCAGTCTCTAGATTGCATCGGTCCAATAAGGGGCAGCCTCTCTTAGTGCGGACCCCCCCCGCCAAAAAAAAAAACTGTATGGGTCCAGTGGGTTCAGAATATCAGTGATCCAGGCTCCGATTCCCCCAGCTGCACTGAATGAGATTGGTGGAATCTTTCTTTTTAGGAGGGGAAGCATTATCCACTTCATGGGAGGAGCAACGAGCATCTCATGAAACTCTGTTCTGTACGAAGCCCCTGCATCAAGTGTTTGCCTCATTTGCAAGAAGAGAAAAGTTGGATATGAGTCTGGTCTCCTAATAGATTGTTTTCACTGCACTGGGAACACCTCAGAGGTAAGTAACCAGTACTGAAGACAGTACCAGGCAGGTGGGGCCCACCCTTCCGATGAAAAGAGACACCTACCTTTTCATCTGGATAGAAGCGCAGGTTTGAGTATAGACACTGGCATTTTTGAACAGTTCCCATGATCTCCTGGTCACTTCTTAAAATGCTCAAGATCATGTTTTTTAAAGGTGTTAATTGATCATACATTTTAGTTGAAAATCATTTGTGGGGCAATAAAAGCCTTTTTTTTTTTTTTGAGACGGAATCTTGCTCTGTCGCCCAGGCTGGAGTGCAGTGGCCGGATCTCAACTCACTACAAGCTCCGCCTCCCGGGTTTACGCCATTCTCCTGCCTCAGCCTCCCGAGTAGCTGGGACTACAGGCGCCCGCCACCACGCCCGGCTAGTTTTTTGTATTTTTTTAGTAGAGACGGGGTTTCACCGTGTTAGCCAGGATGGTCTCGATCTCCTGACCTCGTGATCCGCCCACCTCGGCCTCCCAAAGTGCTGGGATTACAGGCTTGAGCCACCGCGCCCGGCCAAAAGCCATTTTTTGAAAAAGGTGTATCACTCAAGAAGTACTTATGAAAAAAATATGGAAAACTATCAAATTATTGAGGGCATTAAGTTGTCACAGTAACTGCTACTAATTTAATGCCAGGAATAGAGACGCCAAAAATCCTAAAATGTTCAGAGGGTTCTCACAGAAATGGAGCACTCCACTCAAACTGCAGTAGCTTGGTTGTGTTGAGAAACACTGATACAAATAATGCGAAAACAACCCACATTCACTAATGAAGATAATAAAGACGACCCAATTTTTTTTTTAAAGGAAAGTATTTCTAGCTTTTATGGAAGCTTTAAGTAATTTTTCCTCATTTTCCTGTTTGAAACTTTTGAAAAGGAAGTTCTTCGGTGTTTGGTTAGGTGCAGTGTATTCTAGGCCACTGCTTTATAAACATGGTGTGAGAAAGTAGTAGGATAAAATAATCAGCGTTCAATCTATCTCATATTTTGTTTTCTAAAACAGTTTAGTAGAGCTCTGAATGTACTAAGAAGTCCCCGCTGAAAAAGCACGGTTAGAAATCTGCCTATAAACTCAGGGGGACTCAGGCGCCCCCTGGGTCTTCCCTCTCCTGCAGGCTCTGAGGTTAATGTCCTGATTTACTAGCACCCCTGGTTCCTTGGCGCGTGGGTCAGATATGAAGACCTGTGTCTGGCTGACCAGGTTCTCCCGTTTTCATCCCTAGCTCTCCCTTGCCCAGGCACAGATAGGAGTCAGGAGTCATGACTGGCCCAAGGCCACGTTCAGACTTAACCTGCAATGGCCACTTCCTAGACCTCACGGTCATGAAGTAACCTCCAGGTGGGAGAGCTCCGGGAACAGTGCAGAGGACTAAAGCCAGCTTGAAGTACGCTTTAGAAGAAAGCAGTTGAAGAATAGTTCCGGGGTACAGTGAGCTATGACGAGACCTTCAAGCTCCTGCCTTCCAGGCCTGTGGTGGGGACCAGTGGCATGAGTCAGCAAAGTACAGCACTCCTCAGATAAGTGATATTACCACAGTTTCCACCATCACTTTCAAGTTGAATAAAGCTTTTAATAAAACAGTCTTGTTCTTTATCAATACCTGTAAATTCTCTTAAAGCAGTAGCAAAGGCGACTGTAGCAAGAGCTCAAAAGGCAAGGCAATGTCGGAGTGTATTTAACAGAAGATTAAAAATATAAATGTAGAAGATCTGTTTATATATTTTTCTTTCAGAAATAAACCCCCCCTCCCCTGCCAGGTGAAAGGAAATATTGCACTTTCTGCTCTCATGACTAAGGGGACAGGGGTTCCAGAAGAACCTTTCAAGATGATGAGGAACACCAGGACGAGGGCCATCTCACCTCACTTGGACCACATGGAGACCACCAGGTATCCTGCTTGACCTACCTTCAGAATGGGAGCAAAACGTTTGCCAGCCATGTCCCGCCCCACCAAGCCCCGTCTGAAGCAGAGCTTCCCCGCCTGTGTTCCCTCCACAGTCCCAGTCAGCCCACTGGCAAAGGCCACTTCGTCCCAGCTCTGCCACCCTCCTGCTCACAGTGGCCAGGGCCCCACAGGGGCAAGAATGGCAGGGATTGGAACGAGGGCTCTGGAAGGACTGTTCAGCCCTACGCCTAAGACCCCTGCGCTGGGGACGCTACAGGCACATGGAGGAATAGCAGGGCCGCCCTCAGAGTTCACACATCCATGAACAAACGAAGGCTGAGGAGATTTCTAAACCTAAAGTCCGCGAGTGTGCACTTCAATCCAGGAAGGCCAGGACTTCCTTCAGTTCCAAAAAATAAATTCTCCCTTCCGGTTTGGACTGTTGCAGGCTCGAGGCTGTTCAGGAGTTGTCTACCACCTGGTGGGGCAGTGTGACAGAGGGGCCGTTGAGGAAGGCGGCTGGCTTGTCCCGCCCCTTCAAGAAGAAGGTCAGCAGCTCCCCCTTCCCCTTCACAAAGATGGGGCCTCGCCTCACAAAGCGGAAGCCGTACTCTCGGAGGATGACTTGGGTTTCTTCTACCACCTGTAGAGGGATGGGGAGCAAGAATGTGGCGTTACTGGGGGAGCCTAGACTGAGGGCGGGTGGGGCTTTGGGTGGTTGGAGCTGAGCACTGATCCATGGGTCCCAGGCAGTACAGGGCCCTCAGCACCCTTCCCAAACCTCCCAGGGCCAAGCCCTTCCTTCCACCCCCAGTGAGCAGCGGGTGGGCAGGAGAGCCCTGGAGTGAGTGGCTGGGGGCCTCCTCTCGCCCAGAGACTTCTCTCCTAGGACAGCCATTGTCACCTGGGTGGCAGCACTGTTGCCTGGAAACTGCCACTGCCTGCTCTTGTATCCCTTTGCCCCTTTTGTGGAGCTCTTCTGCCAGACCCCACTGAGACAGATCACAAGGTATCGGAAGGTTCATACCCAGAGGCAGGCCATACGCACCCAGAACTTCAGCCCAGATTTTGTGGATGGGTGGGAGCGTTTCCTCCTGCGCTGAGGCTAGCTATTGCAGAGACTCCTTTCCACTCACCCCATGCCTCTGCCTGTGGACTTAACTGTTCGGGGCCAGGGTGGGAGGCGGGCACATGGGAAAGCACTGTTCCGATTCTGTTCCTATGCCGAGTCTGAGCACGCGCCGGCTCTGCTGCTGGACATACCTGGATGTTGCCCATGACCCCCGTGGACTCCATCCTGCTGGCTACATTGACCGTATTGCCCCAGATGTCGTAGTGTGGTTTCCGGGCTCCGATGACCCCAGCCAGAACCCCGCCTTTGTTCATGCCTAGGGTGGAGGCATAAAGTTCAGCACAGCCACAGGCCAAACCTTGTCATGAGCCTCAGAAACCAACTCCTCTTTTATAGAATTTGTCACCAGACCTGTACCACAAAGCTCCTAATTATGTAACACATCATTGTCCTCGTTCAACTTGCCTGTATGCTACTGGAGGGTGGCAGTCACGTCTCCTGTTTATCTGTGTGCTTGGCAGTGTCAGCTGCCACCCCCCCATATGCAGATTTACTCAGCATGGTAGTGACCAGTTCTAATACACCTGGTATTTCAAGTCTCCTGTGACCTCGCTCCGGAATGAGACGCCCTCAGTGGAAGAGCAGGTGATCTTAACTCCTTTCAAAGAGCAGGCTGGTCTGGGAAGCCATGCCCTCAGCAGGCACAGAAACCCCTCTGGAAATGGATCACAAATTCACTTCTCGGCCAGGCAGACCAGGCTTCTGTTGTAAACAGTAGGCACAGTATAGCCTGACCATCACATCAGCTGGGTTTTGGTTTAGTCATCTAGAGTCGTCTGGACTAAAGGTCTTTCAGGTCCCCTTGCCCTGTGAGCGCGTGAACCTCCCCACCCGAATGCCTCAGTCCTCCTGAGCCTCCTGTCTCTCCTGGTGGGCTGAGCCCCTGCCACAGGGCAGGCCAGCTGGGGGCGCTCACCTATGCGCAGCATGAAGTTATTGAAGGACTGATTGTTGATGTTGGTGAGCGTATCCTTCATGGCCAGCGCAAAGTCGGCCAGGTCAGCCAGGTGCTGCCAGCGTTCTCTCTCAGACTTGTCCTCCTGTGCCAGGGGACCGTGGAGAAAGTGTCAGGGGCCGCTCACCGCAGCAGCCTGCTCTGCTGTCTTCCCTGGCAGTGTTCTGGGGGTGGATTCCCCACAGCTAGATGTTCAAGGCCTGACTTCCCTTCCTCCCACAAAGGAGTCGGCAGCCGCGCTAGCTCCGACTTGCCACTGTGACAAAGTTCACGTAGCAGGTCTAGGCAAAGTCTGGGCAATGGGGGTAGAGGAGACGGATCCGTGAGTCTGACCGCGAGGTGGGCTCCTTCACCTTGGCTGGGCCTGGTCCTTAGGTTTTGTCAAGTTGTCCTTGTTTGGATCCCTCAACTAGGTGATAAGCACTGGAGGGGGTGACCCGCCTTGGACATGTTTCTGTAACCTCATCCATACAATAGAGAGGGCCATGGGATGGTCTTAGAGGTAAAGCAGGATGATGATGTTTTAAGACCAGAGCTTGGGACCAAGGCTCCTACACCCCATTTTCTCTCCTGGTAGCTGAACACAGGTCTAAATTAGCTTAACAAATGAACAGGCTGCCATTGACCAGAGTTCTGAAGGCCACACTTTTTAAGTTTCCCTTGTTAAACTTTTTTTTTTTTTTTTTTTGAGACGAGTCTCGCTCTGTTGCCCAGGCTGGAGTGCAGTGGCCGGATCTCAGCTCATTGCAAGCTCCACCTCCCAGGTTAAAGTCATTCTCCTGCCTCAGCCTCCCGAGTAGCTGGGACTACAGGCGCCCGCCACCTCACCCGGCTAGTTTTTTTTGTATTTTTTAGTAGAGACGGGGTTTCACCGTGTTAGCCAGGATGGTCTCGATCTCCTGACCTCGTGATCCACCCGTCTCGGCCTCCCAAAGTGCTGGGATTACAGGCTTGAGCCACTGCGCCCGGCCAAGTTTCCCTTGTTAACAATTGCTCTCCAGTTCCTATGAAAGCACAGAGCCTTAAGGGGCCTGGCCACAGAACACAACCATCTTAGGTCTGAGCTGTGAACAGCAGGGGTGCTGTGTGTGTGCTCTTTCTCTGCTTGCCAGACTTTCTCAATAAACCCTACTGTTTATATTTACATGCTGCTGGTGGTATGTGTCTGGGACTCCTTTGCACAGCAGTTCTTGTTTCCCGCATGCTAGGTCTGGGCTGCCAATCTCTTGCCTAGGGGCAGAGCCTCGTCTCCTCTCTGGCTATTGGGGTTAGCTACCTTGTTGGAGCTGGCAAAGCCATTAGTGTTGACGTCAGGGGTGACTCCTGAAGCTGCCATATACGTGCTGCCAATGGTTTTGATCTTGGTGATCACCCGGAACTTGGGATTGTCCAGGAGCTGGGGCCAGGATTCAGAAAAGAATTGTCAGCAGTCAAGGCAGATGAATGACCCAACCCAGTGACAGATGTACCTGTTTACAAGGACCCCACTAAACCCAAGAGACACTTTCCTATCAAAGTTGTTACTTAGTCTACCGCTCATCTGCCACGTGACCCTGGGAGAACTTCCTGACATTCTGGGCCTCAATTTCCACAACCTCAACACTGACATAAAATCACCAGTCTCCTAGGCGGGCTGCGCGCGTGTGGAAAAGCATTCTGCCTGGTATACAGGTTACCCAATCAATGCTGACTGGCTCTGAATTTGAGGAGAGGGTCCCAGGACAGAGAGGTCTCCAGATGTTGCTTGGCCAGTCCTTACCCTGTGACCCTGTGGGTGAGTTCCTGGGCTCCCACCTCCCCTCCCCTTTCCCAGCCCAGTAGTTCCAGGTGGCTGCAGAAGTCTGTGTATTGCGGAAGGGGCTTATCTGGGATGGTGGAGCCAGTTTCTCTGGCCTCTGCAGCCTATCCTAGGATGTGATGTGGAATGGGCCGGCTTCATCGCCAGAGTGCGGGGTGGGGACTCACAGAGTCAAAATCCGAGATGATTTCATTGAGGAAACGCAGACACTCGATACCGCCATTGTTGATGCTCTCCTCTGTGTAGAAGTCAGCAAAGTTGGGCAGGGAGGCAAACATGACTCCAATCTCATCATACGTCTGGCTGTACAGCTCCTAAAAAGAGGCAGGGCCAAAGTGCTCAAAGCATGTCTGACTGATTGGATGATGTGCTGGAGAAATATATCTGTCTTCCACACACGACATGTGTACTCAGCTTTTTGTATTCACACATCAGTCAGATTATCCCAGCCTCTTTTTTTTTTTTTTTTTTTAAGAGTCTGGGTCTTGCTATGTTTCCCAGCCTGGAGTGCAGTGGTAATAAACAAGCACGATTAGGTACAATTGAAGCGCACTGCGGCCTCAAACACCAGGTATCTGGGACCACAGGCACATGCCACCATGCCCGGCTGTAGATTATCCCAACTCTGAATAATTTAAAAATAGCTCATTGCTACTTTTTTTTTTTTTCCTTGAGAGACAGTCTTGTTCTGTCGCCCAGGCTGGAGTAGAGTGGCACAATCTCGATTCACTGCAACCTCCACTTCCAGGTTCAAGTGATTCTCCTGTCTCAGTTTCCCAAGTAGCTGGGACGACAGGTGTGCACCACCACATCCAGTTAATTTTTGTATTTTTAGTAGAGACGGGGGTTTCACTATATGTTGCCCAGGCTGGTCTCAAACTCCTGACCTCAGGTGATCCACCCACCTCGGCCTCCCAAAGTGCTGGGATTACAGGCGTGAGCCACTGTGCCTGGCCACTACTTTGAATAAATTTTAAAACAGCTTCTCTAGTTCCTCTAACAGCCCCAGCTGTGAGGAAGAGGGTACTGTGGAGCTGGGAACCACTCTGGCGAAGTTCACAGGCAACAGAAAGGTGGGCTCTAGCGAAAAGTCTTGTCTTCTGACACATGGCCTCAGCTGTATGGCCCACGTCACCATGCCTACAGCAGTGCCCTTTACAAGAGGCCGGAGAAACTCCTCTTTTGCTTATATTGTGTTTGCTGTTTAGGTTCAGCCCTACCTGGCCCCAGTCCCCTGTCCCTGAGAAGGCCTGGGCCCAGGGGGGTTCCCTGAAACAAAGAACAGACGGAGATGCATGGCCTCATGGTTCCGGGCTGAGGCCACACCCCTCACCTCATCTCTCTTCTTGGACCCCAGGAAATGGCGTGCCACGTGCTCAGGCAACATGTTGGTGACCAAGGCCTCGTTCCAGCGTCGCATCTCATAGACACGTTCCTTCTGGTCGTGGACCTCAATCTTCCACAAGAAAAGTGTCCGTGCCAGTTTTTCTACCTACAGACACAGACAAGGCGAGGCATGTGCTCTGAGCTGGCCACTGGATAGAAGGACGAAAAACGGGAACAGCCAGGCATGGTGGTTCACGCCTGTAATCCCAGCACTTTGGGAGGCCAAGGCAGGCGGATCACCTGAGGTCAGGAGTTCAAGACCAGCCTGGTCAATATGGTGAAACCCTGTCCCTACTAAAAATACAAAAATTCACCAGGCATGGTGGTGGGCAACCTGTAATCCCAGCTACTCGGGAGGCTGAGGCAGAAGAATCACTTGAACCCAGGAGGCAGAGGTTGCAGTGAGCCAAGATTGCACCATTAGACTCCAGCCTGGGCGACAGAGTGAGACTCAGTCTCAAAAAAAGAAGAAAAACAGGAACATGAATAGAGGAGCTCCCCTTGGAAAGGCTGGAGGGAAGATGGCTAAATGGCAAGGGAAGTAAGACCCTGCAAGGATTCCCCCTCATCAAAAGGCCACCCAATAGTGCGGTGCAGTTTCCAGCCCCCATAGTTACAGCAGATATCCAGGAGGCCTTCTGGGACCTAATTTCAGCTGCAGGTCTGTCTCATGGAGGTGGCAGCAGTGGGGATCGCCCAGCTCAGGGGGGAGTCCCCTTTCTAAGCAGGTGCTATTTGGATGAGAAGTGGCTTGGGAAGGCTGTACTTCCCTGGAAAGTCACTAGGGGGCACTTGAGCTAACACTGAGCCGGAAGTACAGAGGTTCTTTCTCCTCCCTCTTTCCTCCCTTTTCCTCTGTTGTGGGGTTGGTGGAGGGGGGCGGTCACTTGTCACCCAGGCTGGAGTGCAGTGGTGTGATCTCAGCTTACTGCAGCCTCAACCTCCCAGATTCAAGCAATCCTCCTGCCTCAACCCCCCAAGTAGCTGGGATTACAGGCACGGGCCACCATGCCTGGCTAATTTTTGTATTTTTTAGTAGAGACAGGGTTTCACCATGTTGCCCAGGCTGGTCTCAGACTCCTGGAATCAACTGATCCTCCACCTCAGCCTCCCAAAATAAGCCACTGCACCCGGCCTTCTCTTTTCCTTTTAACCCAACAGAAAGTCCATCAGCTCCCTTCCCTTTCTCTTCCGGCTCCGTGGTCAGTTGTGCTAATGTCCCTCAGCGCCATGGGGAGTGCAGGGGCCATGAGCCCCTGGCCTAGGGGATAGAGATTTGATTCAAGATGTTTGTGCCTTCGCTCTGTCCCCTCCCGCCCTCACTCCCATGCTTCCTTCACCATCCTGGAGGGGGTCGGATGGAAGAGGTGAGACACTGTCTTCCTGTGTGACTGAGGAAGGAGCCTGAATATAGAAAAGGCGGTGGCCTGACCAGGCTCACGTGTGGGGCTGGGTAAAGGGAAGCCTCAGTCCTTAGGAGCTTGGGCTCTTAGGTCCCACGGCTGCTTCTCAGGAGGCCCTGTGGGTTGTGGGCACAGAGCGGGGATCGTGCAGGTGGCACTCACGTGGCGGGAGAAGTAGTAGAAGCTCAGCATCATGAGGAACACCATCACCGTCATGGAGTACTTGGAAGGCACCAGGGGCAGCCTGCCGGGCAGAGCGCGTGCAACTGAAAGGGCCTCCCGGAGGGGGCCTGATTCCCTCCGACTAGACGGTGCTGCTTCCTGCCACCCCAGCCCCAGAGCTCACCCCAGCTCCTTAGGCCCTTTCACATCAAGTCGGGCTCCCCCTGGGCAGTAAAGCTTTCTTAACTCACTGGCCTCCTCTCCAACAGCCGGGCAGCCCCTGGCCCCTCCTGGCTACACCTGGTATTTACATCAGGGCTGCTCCCCAGCTGTTTAAGAAACACTGCATTGCCTGACTGATCACAGAGGTAGCTACGACCATGCAGGAATTTGCAGAAGAGACATCACTGATGGGATTTCATAGCCACGGGACTGGGGTACAATCTCACCATGGCTTTTTATGTCATTCGTCCATATTTTTATGTGGAGCTGTGGTTAGTTTCCATTACTGTATGGTATTTCGCTACATGAATATACCAGTTATGTATCCATTTCCTGTTGATGTCATTTGGGTTGTTTTCATTTGTTTTGAGGGAGGGGGTGTGTCTATTACGAACAGTGCCACCTTGGATATTCTCATACATATATCCTGGGACATGAGTATGTGCATGAATTTCTCTAAGATACATATATATATACACATATACACACGTCTGCGTGGGCGTGTATGTAGGAGTGGAATTGCTGGAACACAGGTTTATTTTCAGCCTTACTAAATAGATCAAAATATTTTCTAACGTGCCTGTACTAACTCATACTCCCATCAGGAGTGTAAGAGTTACTGCTGTACTTGATATTGTCAGACTTATCTGGACCAGTACGTGTGTGATGGTATTTCATTAGGGTGTGACTGGCACTTCCTTGATTACTTGAGTGCCATTTATTAGTGGCCATTTAGAGTTCTTCTTTTGTGAAGGGCTATGCAGGTCTTACCCCTCTTCTATTAGGTCATCTTTTTATTTCTAAACTTTCTTGAAGGTCTCATTCAAGTCACTGAGTCATAAAATTTTAAAACCTTGGCACTGGCCGTGACCTTAGAGAACTTCTGCTTCAGTATCCTCCTCAAAAGATGAAACTGCCACTCATGGAAACTGACCTGCCTGTGACCCACAGAGAATTACTGCCTGCTGCAGGCTCAGAAGCCAGGTCTAAATCCAAAGCGTGTTCCTCCCTCCTCATTTTCCTGCTGCTTGTCTGTCCTGTCAGCCAGTTACATGCAGCTGCCATCCACCTGGCTGTTCCTTCCCTCCTCACTGCACTGCTGCTGCCCTCCAAGCCTCACTGCCCTTCACGCAGAGGCCTGGATGTCCAGGTCCCTATCAGAATCATCCTGCCTCTGCTGCCGCCCTCCTGGAGGAACCCATGCCAGCTCCTCTAACCTGCATGTGCTAGGTCACGTGCCTCCTGGAGGGTGAGATCACAGGGCTTGGGCCTGTTGTATTCCTGTCTCTAGAAGAGGGACTGTGAGTGCAGGCCAGGAAGGGAAGCCGTGGCCCTTACCCGTCAGTGCCGTTGAGCCCAGGGGTGAATCCCTGCATCTTCTCTAAGGTCACCATAGGTAAGCTGCTGGACAGATAACAGCACAGTCAGGCCGCATCTGGGAACAAGAGCCTGATGCCCAGCCAGACACCGAGGTATCCCAAGTCCTCCACTCGGGGACAATGGGAAGAATCTATTCCCAGGTCCTAGCCAACCAGTGATGCGTCTGTGAGCGGCCAGGAACTCTGGCTCTTGAACAAGCCTCTGAGGACCCCTAGTGGCAGAAAGCCACCTCAGCACAGGCCCATGAGCTCAACTGAGGACTTTGCCTTCGCGGGTGGGAGGAAGGAGACAGTACAGATCCCCAGTCGCGCTTCATCTTACTCATGCTCCCGAAAACGCCGGTGGTCGTATTCATCGAAGACGGGGCCCCAGGCGTAGAGGTTGATGGCGGCCACGGTGCCCGCGACAAGCAGCATAAGCGTGAGCTTCACCATGTGGCTGACCTGCACCAGCATGATGGTGGCGATGAGAGACAGCACGGCCACGTAGTTGTAATACTTGGGGTTCTCCAGGCAGCCGCCCTTCGTCTCCATCCCTGCTGTCGCGTTGCTGGGTCCTGTGTAGTACTGGAGACAGCTGAGCTGGAGGCCAGGATGGCAGGAGGAGACACACGTTCAAGAGAACAGCATGTGCTGGTCACAGAGAGCTGTGCATGGCAGTGTGCGCTCAGCTGCCACCTCCCAGGGCTCCCCCAGAAACACCGGGAAAGATGGGGAAATTTACCAGGGACGAATCATACGAAAGTTAGTAACTGCAGCTAAGAGCCTTGCTGTTGCCTCATTTGACATTCACAAAAACTCTGGAGTATTTTTAGTACTGTGCCTGTTGTACAGAAAACTCAGGCCAGATTTGCCCAAACACAATTAGCAAGCAGAAAAGCCAGAAGTAGGAGCCAAGTCTTTAGGCTTCAAATCCAACATGTTCTTCCCCACATCACACTGTTGCTTCAGGAGGCACCACGGGGCCATGAGCTCCACTCACAGCCTCCCCGTGATGACAGCTAGTCTCTGCCCAAACCCTTCCACTGGGGGGACACTCTGCCTTCTGGAGTCTTCACTGGTTCTGCTACTGGGTGATGCGGCCGGGAGAAAGTGTATCCACAATCAGAATCAACCCAACGTTTTTGTAACTTTCACCCACGGGGGCTTGTCTTGCTTGCGCGATTCCTGGCATATCTATATTCTAGCATGAGCAGTTGTTGCACCTCCCTAAGCTTTTACTCCTCCATGAGTGACAGCATCTCCAGGTGTCCTGTACAGTGTCCAGGACCCTGTGCAGTGGTGACCCCCACACCTGGGTGCCAGGTTCCAGGCGTATTGTGACATGCAAGGGGCCTGGGGCTTCCCTTCCCTGGGTAGTGGGCACCAGCAACCCCTGGCCAAGCTAGGCTCTGGAGCCCCTAACTCCTCATTCCAATTGGACTTTTTTTTTTTTTGAGATGGAGTCTTGCTCTGTCGCCCAGGCCAGAGTGCAGTGGTGCGTTCTTGGCTCACTGCAACCTCCACCTCCTAGGTTCAAGCGATTCTCCTGCCTCAGCTGCCCAAGTAACTGGAATTATGGGTGCGTGCCACTGTGCCTGGCTAATTCTTGTATTTTTAGTAGAGATGGGGTTTCACCATGTTGGCCAGGCTGGTCTCGAACTCCTGACCTCAAGTGATCCACCCACCTCAGCCTCCCAAAGTGCTGGAATTACAAGCATGAGCCACCGCGCCCAGCCCCCATTGGACTTCTGATTAGCTGCAGCCCTGGAGCTTTTTCACTTATACCACTGCCAGAATAAGTCTCCATGCTGGTTGTATTCCTGTGCTCCAATTGTTAAAATGCAACAGTAACATTAAATTAGAAAAAAAGGAAGAGAGTGTATATGGTACTTCGACAATTAGAGGAGGCCGTGACAACTGACAAGAGAACATTGATGACAGCTCCAGGCATGTAGTGCTCAATATGTGCCCAGTGGTTCTAAACCAATAGATCTGGGCTCCCAACTCCTGTCCCTTCTCCCCAAGAAAGCATTTGGCTGCCCCCTCAGGGAGGAAGAACACACAGGACCAGGACTTAGAACTGCCTCCATTCTGGATTCTGTCACTTCCTGGCTGTGTGACCTAGAGCAAGGGAATTATTATTATTTATTTACTTTTTTGAGACAGAGTCTCACTCTTTGCCCAGGTTGGAATGTAGTGGCTCAATCTCAGCTCACTGCAACCTCTGCCTCCGGGGTTCAAGCTATTCTCCTGCCTCAGCCTCCCAAGTAGCTGGGATTACAGGTGCACACCACCATGCCTGGCTAATTTTTGTATTTTTAGTAGAGATAGGGTTTCACCATGTTGGCCAGGCTGGTCTCAAACTCCTGACCTCATGATGTACTTGCCTCAGCCTCCCAAAGTGCTGGGATTACAGGTGTGAGTCACCGTGCCCAGCTGATTACTCTTTTTGAGCGTTTGTTTCTCCATATGAAACTGCAGATACTAGTACAACCGCTCAGGACTTTCTCACAGACTAAATGAATCAACATACATAAGGCACCTAGCACACACAGGCCTGGGCACATGGAACTGGGCTCTTAGACTCTGGGAGAGGAGTTTCAAGGAAACAAGGCCATCCCAGAGGATCCCTGGATGACAGGGACAAGACTCCTTCCACTAGGCAGGGATGATGTGTTTGGGAACCTAAGAGCCACTCCAAAGCTACATGACGGTGGAGGGACGGATTGAGAAACGGCTCGTGTGACCCAAACAGAAGCCCTTCTCCACTGAGAATAGGGGCGTCCCTTCAACAAGGACAGCAGGAGCTCACCATGTCCACGACATTTGCCATCACCAGAATGAAGATGGCGAGCATGGCCCAGGTGTTCCTGGCCCAGCGGGTCCGGTCAATCCAAGTCGAGAAGGCCACAAGCTTCTTAGGAAAGGCCTAGAAGGAATGGAATTTCAAGGGCCATGAGCCTTTGCCAGCCCTTTCTCCTGCAGACGTGACTGCCAGCAACTCAGGCTGCTCCCATATTCCAGTTCCAGGAGCCTCAAAAGGGGCTCTGCCTGGGAGTCGCCCGACAGCTGACAAAGGGGCAGAGCTGAGAAGAGGGCGTGGGAGTTCTGGCGCTGCGTCGGACCTCCTCCAGGTGCCTGTGCAACAGCACAGCTTCCAGCTCGCAGCCCTCTCCACAGCACATGCGGTGACGAGGTGAGGCCAGGGCAGAGAACAGTTTTCAGGGCTGCTTGTCTCTGGTCAGCTACTCCTGCCTGTCCTGGCTCCAAGTGACCTGGCGAGCCACCTGTGAGATTCATGTTCCTAAACACTGCTTTACCTTTGTCATTCTGATTAAAAAAAACCTCTGCTTGGTACCCCAGTGCCGTACAGGAGAAAGTTTTAATCCTTTTAGTCTGGCTTCTAAGGGCCTTCACAGTCAGGGCCAACCCACCTTCCAGCTGGCCCTCCAACTACTTCTCTACCCAGGTTCCTGTGTACCCAGACTCTGCCGTACTCATGTGTGCCGCAGCGCCACGGCCTGCCACGGCCTGCCACAGCCCAGCCATGGCCCAACCAAGGCCCACCATCGGCCAGCCACGGCCTGCCACAGTCCACTATGGCCCAGCACCGGCCTGCCACGGCCTGGCGGCCCAGCCAGAGGGAGTGCTCTGCTGATGGTGAATGAATGGATGGGCAAGTGCCTGGACCGTCCTAACAGAAGAGTGTCTGTCTGTCAGGATTTGACAGAAAGAATAACTCCATCACCACCCAGTTTTACAGGGAGTGCCACTCACTTCCAGACGCTTCCAAGCTCAGCAGAAAAGTGCCTCTTACCCGGGGAAAGATGGCAGCCAGGGAGCAGATGGTCAGGATGAGGAGCAGAAGCTCCCCCACCACGAAGGTCACATAGTTTGTCATTAGCCTGTGACAGAGAGAAGACAATTGGGAGGGGCCAGAGGGGACAGTGAGATGGGGTGAGGGGCTAGGAGGCAGGGGACAGAGGACAAGGGACAGGGGGTGGGGGCAGGGGGCAGGGGATGGGAAGGCCTCTCGGCACAGCACGAGCCCATGCCTGTGCCTGTACAGATCCACGCGGTGCCAGGGAATTGCTGCTGCCTGCCGTGCAGAACAGGACAAAGGCCCTGATGAGAGGGGCTGCCAGCTGAGTGCCGGCCTGGGAGCGGCCACTCTCCAGCTGCAGCTGCTGCCTGGGACATTTCCCAGAGAGGGAACGACTCACAGGTGGCCTGGGCACAGCCCAGGATAAACTTGGGCAGGGATCTTAGGAATGCGCCCCGGCCATGTCGCTGTGATAAAGGGACAGAGCACGGAGCAGCATTGCTCCCTCGCTGCCGGGGGCTGCTAAGAGTCCGCCTATGGCAGCCACCCCCAGCTTCACCGTGGACACACTCTTAACACATCCACCTTAACCCGATGACTCCGGGAAACCTGCCTTCCATACCCTCTGCTCACACCCATCCCCATTTAACCCCTCCCTGGAAGGTGCCCTTGCCAAGAGCCCCAGAAGCCTCCTGGTAGCTAAATCCACGTCCCATTTTCAGTCACCTCTCGCCCCTCCTTGAGACACTTTCCTCACTTGGTTTCTTGAGTCCCTGCTGGTACGTTTCCGTCCCTGCATCTGGACACGCTGCCTTGAGCTCAGCGAGTCTCGTGTTACCGCACAGCCTGCATGCTGGCGACGCCAGGTTCACGTCTCCAACCCCACCCGCCCTCTCAACTCCAGATCATGGACTCTGGCCTCCTTGGCGTGTGGGCATTAAAAACTTCACGCATCCCAAACCGAACTCCTGATCTTTGCGTCTGCACTTTCATCTTGCCACCTCGTCCCCATCTTGGCACCTCCATCCTGCCAGTTGCTCAGATCAGAAGCCCAGGAGACGTCCTTAACTCCACACTCATGCCCCACAACCAATCTGCCAGCAAATCCTGTCAGTTCTGTCTCCAAAATACATTGAGCATCCATTCGTCAATCCAGAAAATTCAGAATCCAACCACTGATCCTCCTCTCTCCTCGGCCTGGCCTGGTTGCCACAGTAGCTTGTCTGGGTCACTATCTGGTCTCCTCTGGTCTCACTGCTCCCGCTGTGCTCACTAAGCACTGTTCTCAGCAGAAGTGAGCCTCTCCGGGCATATGTCACAACGAGGGACTCCTTTGCTCCCTTGTTCCAGCAGCCTCCTGTGTTGAGTGGAATCTGGCGCCCTGCGGTGGCGTCTGAGGCCCCACGTCTCTGAGCTGGACTCCTGCTACTCCTTCCAGTGGCCCCTGTTCCCGCTGCAATGCCTCCTCACCGTGCCTCCAGGGGCCAGGCCACTCCAGCCTCAGCATCTCTATCCGAAGCAGGTGTCCCCCAGATAGCAGAAGCCTCACCCCTCACCTGCTTCCGGGCATTACTGAAATATTACTCTGCCAGCAAGGCCTGCTCTGATCATCCCACATCAAAATGCAAACAAAGCAAAGCCCCCGGGCAGCATACCCACTTCCTCCCTTGCCCGCCCTGGATCTGCAGTACTTACTCCTGCATGGATGCGTATTTTACTTGTTTAATTGCTTATGCCTATAGCTTCCCCTGCCAGAACCCAGGTCTCATGAGAGCAGGGGTTTCTGTATGCCGCATCACTGCCATGGCCCCAGCCAGCCCCTGATCGCCAGACACGAAGCAGACAACCAATCAATACTCATGGAATCAGTGAATTTGAGCCTCACCACAGTCCTGGGTGTCAGCTGGGGCAGGGGTTGTTCTCCTCATTTCACAGATGAGGAAACAGATGGTGCCGGAGCCTGCAGTGGCCTGCACATGGTCACACACCCACAATCTTAGATGATGTGACCGAGCCCAAGGCTCCCAGCAGGATTACAGTTTGTCAGGAGTAATCCTCTGTGACGGGGAATCCCCGATTGGCCGAGGGGAGAAAGGGAGAACGAGAGAGTGGTCATCACCCTCAGACAGGGCTTCACCAGCTGGGGACTCCAGGAGGCCCACCTTGCCCTGGAGGGCCTGCTGCTGTGTTAGAGAGGGGTCAGTCTGTGCCCAGAGCCTAAAATCTATATCAAGATGAGCCAAGAAAGGGGCCAGGTCAGCCTTGGTGACTGAGGCTGATGCAGTGTCCCCATCTTTGTCCCAAGAATCACTGTGGGCCCATCCAGCCAAGGTCTCCAGCCTTCTGGAGGCCTCTGTTCCTCAGCTCTCTCGATCCTGGCCAGATTCCCATTCTGACGCTAGGACTGCCCCAAAACCTGGGGCGACATAAAGGAAGGAAGCCCAGGGTGCCATCTAGCACTCTTGGAGCCTGTGGGGCCGTCGCAGTGTGGGTCAGGGAGCAGAGACAAGGTTTGCTCCCCAATGTGAGGCTCCCGCTGAGACGCCTGCCTCCCGGCACCGCCGCAGCCGAGGAAACTCGTGGCCCTGCCCTCCCTCACCAGGGGTCGATGAGTATCTCGACCAGAGCCGTGCAGAGCAGGACGACGCAGGAGCAGCTGAAGGCAGCCCCACTCTGCTTCTCCTTCTCCACCGAGTAGCGCGTTTCCATCTCGGGGTCCATGAACCGCATGGACAGGAAGAAGGTGTTTCTCTTCTTTACTCTGCAGTGGGAACAAGCCCCATGAATCCCAAATGCCACACCTGCCTCAGCCTAGCAGGGGGGCCGTATTTGGGATGCCCGGTTTCCTGAATCCCTTGTCAGGGCCCGGGAGGAGCGGTGGGGCCTGGACGCCTCCGGGTGGCGCTTACACTTGGGCAGACTCTCGCTCCAGCAGGGCCTCGTTGAGCAGCTGGTTGAGCTCGTGCTCATCTTCGGAGGCGTCCACCACTCGGTCAGCCAGGTCCTGCAGGCGCAGCCTCCGGCGCGGGTTGGGGAATGAGGGGTTGTCGGCCTGTGAGCCAGGGAGGCAGCGTGAGTGGGGCAGGTGGGGCAGATGGGACAGAGTGGCAGGGAGGAGCTGAGAAAGATGGAGGTGGAGGAGGAAAGGAACAAAATAGGGCATACTCGGAGGACCAATCCCTCCAGCTCCACAATCCCTTTCCGGGAAGTCCTCCCCATGCTCCCATGTGGCTCCATGTGGCCTGGGTCTACACCCAACGCTCCAGGCCTTCCTGGCTCCCTGGGCCCCACCAGAGCTCTGCAGGGGCGGTCGCAAATGACAGCATTGTAGGGAGCTCCTGGCTCCCGAGTAGGAGACTTGTAATCGAGACAGCTGTGGGTTGGGACAGTCCTGGCACTTCCTGCTGTGTAGATGTGGGGGCCATATACATCGGCACCCTGGGGACATGAATGGCTCCCAGCTCTAGGGCTTCAGGGAACTATTAAAGGAACTCCCATCTGGCTCATTTACAAAGGAAGATCTGAGGGGGAAGCGATGGGAGAGAAAAGAATGTTCTCATCACTAGAGGGCTGACAAGGGGCGGGTAGGTGGAGCTGGGGCACCCATTACCATTTTATTCCCAGTTCCAAGGAAGAAGTATCAACTCCAAAAACAGGAATCCTGGCTGTGATGACATAGCCATCAGTCTAAACAATCACTGAGACTGGCACGCTCAATAGCTGAGAGCTGTCTGAACGGGTTCAACAGTGCATCTGGGAGCCACAGTCAAGACTCCCTGGGGCCGGGCGTGGTGACTCACGCCTATCATCCCAGCACTCCGGGAGGCTGAGGTGGGTGGATCACTTGAGGTCAGGAGTTTGAGACCAGACTGGCCAACACAGTAAAATTCTGTCTTTACTAAAAATACAAAAATCAGCCAGGCATGGTGGTGCACACCTGTAATCCCAGCTACTTGGGAGGCTGAGGCAGGAGAATCACTTGAACCCAGGAAGCGGAGGTTGCAGTGAGCCAAGATCGCGCCACTACACTCCAGCCTGGGTGACAGAGCATGACTCTATCTAAAAAAAAAAAAAAAAAAAGACTCCCTGGTCTTAAGCATCGGCACCGGTGTGCCACTGGTTGACCCCAGATAATGTTTCCCCAGCCACATCTTCCTCTTCTGTAAAATCACATGGATGGTCTGTGGCAGCAGCAGGAACCTGTTCCTGAAGCAGATCTGGGAGCAGCGTGGGCCTGGCTAAGGCTCAGGGCCCGAAAAATCACAGGCTGCTAAAGCTGTATCTGTGTCCTCCTTGCTAGTGAGTGCCTTGAGTCTGTACCTCCACTTTCTCTCAAGAAAACTGCAATAAGGAAAAGTTGCTGAATGTTGGGGGACTTGAGAAAACCCTAATTTACCCTAAGCCCCGTCTACCATCTTGTTCTACAGCATCTGCTCTAATGGCACCAGGGCCAGCTCTCCTGTCGCCCTCACACGGTGAGCCTGGCAGCCCCGGCAGGGCAGACACCCCATCTCTGCAGCACTGACCTCCATCAGGAAACATACTCCAGACGCCCTGCAGTCAGGGACCAGTTCTGGGTGCTCCCCAAGAGGCACCCCGCACTCTGGGACAGCATGCTAATTTTCCTCGCCTTTGGGGCTGCGGAAATATCCCATCTTGCATGGAACTTGTTGAGTTTGAACCTAGCCAGAGAGGTGAGTCCACGTCTGAAATCTCACTTCCAAAATTGTCTCAGACCCTATAGAATTTTCCATGGAGGTCCTCACTGATCTCAAATCTACAGGATTCCAGGTCACCCCAACATGTAACTGATGAGGAGACAGTAGGGTTTTGTGGGGCTGGAGGGGTGACCTGCCCATGGTTACAATGCTAAGCAGGAGGAGGTCCTGGGTGGTGGCCAGGTCTCCCCAGCATAGGACTCCTGCTGCAGGAATGTATTGCTTCCTGGTGTCTGCCCTCATCTGGCCCCTCAGTGACCCCCTGCCCTGAGCCCTGCACATACCTGGGCATCCTGCTCCTCGGGTTTCTCTGATGTGGACCCGCTGCTGTGGGCACTCCCGTTGGGCTCCTTGGTCTCAATGAGGGCAGGGGAGCTGGACTTTGAGGAAGCTGGTGCTCCATTGGGCAGGGCCTAGAGGAAAGGAGAGCTCAGCCATGGTCCGGGCGTGGGATAAGTGGCACAGACAGGGCTGGAAGTGACAAGCGTGTGGGAGGCAGTGGTGGGATCAGAGCAATCGGAGGCCATGGAACTTGCTTGTGGATTGCAAAGTGAGGCGTCAAGGATGACTTCAAACTTTTTGGTCTGAGCATTTTTTTTTTTTTTTTTTTTGAGACGGAGTCTCGCTCTGTCACCCAGGCTGGAGTGCAGTGGCGCGATCTCGGCTCACTGCAAGCTCTGCCTCCTGGGTTTACGCCATTCTCCTGCCTCAGCCCTCCCAAGTAGCTGGGACTACAGGCGCCCACCACCTCGCCCGGCTAGTTTTTTGTATTTTTAGTAGAGACGGGGTTTTACCATGTTAGCCAGGATGGTCTCGATCTCCTGACCTCGTGATCTGCCTGCCTCGGCCTCCCAAAGTGCTGGGATTACAGGCTTGAGCCACCACACCCGGCCTGATCTGAGCAATTATTAATAAAAGGATGGAACTACCATTAACTGAGATGGGAAGACCGAGAGAGAGCAGGTTTTGGAGTGGGAAGGCGGGCAGGAGCTTTGGACAGGTGGCATTTAAGATGCCTATTATATGTACAAAAGGAGGCATACAAGTGGCTGTATGTTGAGTGCAGGAAAGCCACTGGGGCTGGAGATACAAATTTGGGAGTTGTCAGAGAAGGCCTTTAAAATGACACTGAGGCCGGGCGCGGTGGCTCAAGCCTGTAATCCCAGCACTTTGGGAGGCCGAGACGGGCGGATCACGAGGTCAGGAGATCGAGACTATCCTGGCTAACACGGTGAAACCCCGTCTCTACTAAAAAATACAAAAAACTAGCCGGGAGAGGTGGCGGGCGCCTGTAGTCCCAGCTACTCGGGAGGCTGAGGCAGGAGAATGGCATAAACCCGGGAGGCGGAGCTTGCAGTGAGCTGAGATCCGGCCACTGCACTCCAGCCCGGGCGACAGAGCGAGACTCCGTCTCAAAAAAAAAAAAATAAAAAAATAAAATAAAATGACACTGGATGAGACCGACATTGAGGCTAGAATGAACAGGGAGTCTATCAGCCACACTCCTGCAGCCTCCCCAGAGTGGGCTTTGCTTTAGCCACAATTAGGCAAAGCCTCAGCCACGGAGCAGTCTCAGATGACACGATTTCCCTGACAGCCACCACGCTCCTTAATTCCAAGTCTTGTTAGATGGACTCCCATACTGGAGGAAAGGGTTTTGACATGAGAGATTACAAAAAATAAAACCACCTCCAGATTCAGTAGGGGATGGTAAAGGGATCAATTTCTGCAACAGCTGCTGTTGGTTTCTAATCAGACTGACAGGAGGTGTTTGGGGGTTGGTGGACAGGCCTGGGGAAGCTGCTGACTGCTTCAGGTCTGTAGATATTCGGGGGGCCCCACACGAAGACCAGACCAGAGGGCAGGCCCATAGGATGCTCTGCTGCGAGCTTGTTCAACCGCAGTATTTGATGTTTGGCTCAAGACAATTCTTCTTCTAATGTGGCCCAGAGAAGCCAAAAGATGGGACACCCCTGCTCTATGACTTCTATCTCATTCCTTCCTCATTTCCCACTCAGGAAACCTTCCTGGCCTTGGTCCTCCTTCCCCATGACCAGTCACCCCACTCCCAGCCTCGTCTGTGAGTCTCTCCCTGAGCATCCGTGTCACTCCGGTGGCTTCACTCACTTCCTCCGTGCAGGAGACTCTGAGCTCCAGCCCAGCTGCTCTCCTGGGCGCCACCAACACACCTCCAGTGCCTCCCTTTTGGATGTGGTCTTGGGATATGCTACAGTCACCTCCATTGCAACTTGCCATGAATTACACTCACCGTCTCCCCCCAGAAACCAGCTATCCCTCAGGAAGGGTGCCAGCCTGCCACTCACCTCTCATAGCCAGCCACCACTGGGTCCTGTAACTCTTCTGCCATCTTTCCTTAATCTCCTCCTCTCCAACCCCCTCATCTGGGGGTGGGGTGGGGAACTCACCGAGCCATTGAGGCCGTTCTGGGTGGCTGTTTTCTTCACCTCTGGCTTGGAGGCAATGATGAGGTAGGTTTCAATACCCTTCTCTTCTAGGTAATCACAGCGGCTGCCCCCATCGCCTGGTTCCACATCAAACTCCCCTTTCAGGCAGTCCATGGTGCTCTGGGAGATGTGCACACGCCTGGATTGCAGAGAGAGAGGCCCTGAGCACCGGCCAGAGGTGGCCCTCACGACCCCCGGGGACAGTCCACGGACCACAGATGCACTGGCTGCTGCTCGGCCCCGTGTCTCTCGGGCATGTGGGGCAGAGGCCAAGTGGAGGCAGGCGCCAAGTGGAATATCTGCCACTAACTAGCTGTGTGGCCCAACTAGTTGTGTGGGCCGTGTGGCGCCTACTCCCATCTCAGCCTCAGTGTTGGAACCACGACACAAGAGTACAATCTTTCTTCAATCTTTGATCCACTGTGAAGCGGATCAAAATGTGATAAGGATTTTTTTTTTTTTTTTTTGAGACAGTCTTGCCCTGTTGCCCAGGATGGAGTACAGTGGCGCGATCTCAGCTCACTGCAACCTCCGCCTTCCAGGTTCTAAGCAATTCTCCTGCCTCAGCCTCCAGAGTAGCTGGGATTATAGGTGCACACCATCACACCTGGCTAATTCTGTATTTTTAGTAGAGATGGGGTTTCTTCATGTTGGTCAGGCTGGTCTCAAACTCTTGACCTCAGGTGATCCACCCGCCTCAGCCTCCCAAAGGGCTGGGATTACAAGTGTGAGCCACAAGATCCAATTATTCCCCACCTTGCACATTTCTCAGTTGCAACCCCAGGTGCCAAGGGAAAATAAAACCTGTTTCTGAGGAGTTACCACTGAGGGCAAGAATCCTAAATGCCACTGAAGGAAGCTGCCCAGCCCAGGTGGGGAAGGCTGAGCTGATCCTCCGTCAGCCTCACCCTGCTAAAGGCAGGGCCTCCATTACTCACTGATCCTGTAAAGGAGCTCAAGTAAGACACGTAATCGCACTGCGACCTGCAAAACACTGCCTCTGAGCCCGCCACTGACGACTGCTCATTACTCTCCCTTTGGGGAGACCTGGGCGCTGGCATAAGGAGAGCTGGGGCAGCCCCCTAAGTGGGTAAAGGGTAGAGGAGGACAGGCTACTGCAGGGTCCAGGCAGGAGAAGCCACATCTAACATCAGGCCCAAAGAGGCTTCACCCCAAGGCAGGTGAGAACGGCCTTAGCCAGGGCTGGCGCAGGACAGGAGGAATGCTGTTCCGGGGCGGTGGGGGGACCTTCTCGGAGGCCCCCTGTCCCTCATCAGGGTCACAGCCCTGTGGTATGGAGGGGACGGTCCGGTCCCCGCCCCAGTCCTCACACCTGCCCCCGCGGAAGGGCACTCACCCAGGGATGCCGCCGGCCTCCATCTTGTTGGCTACAGTGACGTCAGTTGACCACACATCGTACTGCCAGCGCTTCTGGCCCAGGACGCCCCCCAGCACGGTGCCCGTGTGCACCCCCACACGCATGTCCACCCCAGTCTTGGTCTTCTCCCGCACATACCTGCCACGGACACACAGAAAGGAGGGTCAGGGCGTGGCCTTCACAAGACAGCCAGCCTGCAAAAGAAATTCATCGTGGGCCTCTTCCCCTCCACGGGAGGGGGCCTGGCAAGGTCCCCACAGCTTTCCGCCTGCACTGAAGTCCAGTAACCCATGGTGTTGGGTGGGGGGTAAGGCAGGCCAGGGCCAGCCCAGAGTCAGGCATCACAGGCCAGCAGGACGAAGGCACCAAGCGACCCCCCTCCCTATCCCCACTTCCCGAGGGGCCTCCAGTTTCTTTCTGCCGATTACTCTTATTCATTCATGCAGTTAATATTTCACTGAGCGTCAAGTATGTGCCAGGCACGTTCGAGGTGCTGCAGACATAGAGGTGAACAAAATAGCGGTGAGCAGTCCCTTGCCTGAACGTGTCTGACAGGGCAGGGAGAGGATGCTAGAGTTCCTGGACTACCGCCCCTGGGATAAAGGCCATATTGCTTTTTCTTTTTTTTTTTTTTTTTGAGACGGAGTTTCACTCTTGTTGCCCAGGCTGGAGTGCAATGGCACGATCTCGGCTTACAGCCACCTCTGCCTCCTGGGTTAAAGCCATTCTGCCTCAGCCTCCAGAGTAGATGGGACTACAGACATGTGCCACCACACCCGGCTTATTTTGTATTTTTAGTAGAGACGGGGTTTCTCCATGTTGGTCATGACTGGTCTCGAACTCCAGACCTCAGGTGATCCGCCTGCCTTGGCCTCCCAAAGTGCTGGGATTACAGGTGTGAGCCCCCGCACCCAGCCAACATTGCTTTCTTTCCAGGGCAATACTAGATGGGATTTAACCTGGAAGACGGTAAAAATGCAAAGCTGCCCCCTCGGAGAAGAGGGTAAAGGGCGGGCAACTTCCAGGACTCCATCCCATGGGGGAGGGGCCTCGGCAGGAGCTTCCCTTTCCACGTTGGTGCCTGATGTCACCCCGGGTTCCCCAGAGGCTGGAAGTCAACCAGAGGGACTGCCCATCCGAGAGCTGCAAGCGCACTTGGAGCAGGGACAAGAGGGGGGACAGTGAGCGCAGGAGAGTCTGCCTCCCTCACAGCCTAGGCTGGAGCACAGAGGCCGGGGTGGGCTCCAGCCCCAGCCCTGAGCCCCTCTGCCAGGGGCTTACAGTCACTGCACCACAAGATGGAGAGGGCAGTGCCTTCGGGGGTCATGGTGAGAAAACACTGAGGAGAGATGGGGAGCACCTGTGGGGGTCCTAGCAAGTGTGAGGAAGCGTGAGGAATTTCACAACTGCAACTTCCAGTATAAAGGGAATACGTGGACTAAGGCTGGAAAAGCGGGCCCCACAGGCTGGGGGAGGCTTACAGTTCCCCTGGGCTGTGAGGAAGGTAAGCCACGTCCCAGCTTCTAGAGCAGGGGCCTGTGCCACCCATCAACCAGCGCCGTGTCCCAGCAGGGCACAGTCTTTGCCTCCAGCCCACCCAGGGGCTGTGGCCAGCGCAGAAGACCTGCTTCTCCCTGGGTCCAGGGTTGGGGCCCTTGCTCTGGGAGCCTCCCTCCCAGAGGCACCCCACTTACGAGATGGCCTCCACCATGGCGAGCCCCATGAGGATGGAGCAGACGGCGTGGTCCTCCCGGTAGTCAGGCAGGCCGCAGATGCAGTAGTAGCAGTCGCCCAGGATCTTAATCCGCAGCTGGTGGTATTTCTGAAAGGGGAGGGCCTGGCCTATGCTCCAGCCCCTCATCAGTGCGGGAGGAGTGGCCAAGAAAGCAGAGGAAGGACAGAGGGAGAAAATCATGGGGCCGGGGATGGTGGCCAGGCACAGGCCATGAGGGCAGGCCCCGCCGGAGAGCCAGGCGGGACCAGGGACTTACAGCTGCCAGCTTGTCAAAGCGGGCAAAGAGCTCGTTGAGCAGCTTCACGAGCTCCTGGGCACTGCAGGCAGAAGACAGCTGGGTAAAGCCCACGATGTCGGCAAAGAGGATGCTGCATGAGGAACGAACCGTGGGGGTGAGGCTCCAGGCAGCGAGGTGTGCCCGCTCCCTCTCCAACCCGCAGGGCGGCCAGGATCAGGGTGGGAGAAGGTCCTCCCTCACCCCCTCCAGGGCAGTGAGACCCTGGCCCTTCCAGGTAAAGTCAGGGCTCTGACCTTGCACTTGTCCTAGTGGACCTCCCCCTGCAGGCATCCCTCCCTGTGGTGCCTGGGGACCACCCCACACTGCCCCCTCCTGCCCGGGCTGAACTCATCCTTCTTCCTAGAATCAGAGGTCAGGGCTCTAGCCCCAGTGCTGGCCCCGAACAGCTGGGTGACCTCACAGGAGTCCCTTCCCCACTCTGGGTGATGTCTGTTCTATGATGGGGTTGGACCAGGCAGCCTAGAACACACTGTAGCTTAAACACCTGCCGGCAGCTTCTCCTGCCGGGTTGATGAGTGCCGTGGGGAGCCTCGCTTCTAGTCCCTGGAAAACCTCTCGAAGCCCACAGCGCCTAGTGGGTCCTGCAAAGACGCAGCCTCCACGGCCTGCTCTGTCATCAGAGCCCGCACCCCAGGCCGGCGTACCTGACGTTCTCATGGCGGTACATGTACATGGTGTTGAACTGCTGCTGGTCCTTCTGGCTCTCGTCTTTCTTCATGTCTTTCAGCATCTCGTCAGCCACGTGCTTGGGCAGGATGGAAAGCATGAGGTTCTCCTGTGAGGGGCAGGAGAGGGTCAGAGGCAACGGTAGGGCCTGCTAGGGGCAAGTTAAGATATTTCTTGGAAGAAACGCCCCGATCCTGGCAAGAAACATGAGCCGGGAACCACGCTGCCCTCCAGAGAGACCTCACAGACCTGCCTCGGGAACAGCTAGGGGTCTGGGACAGGCAGCTTCTGGCCCTGACAAGGCTGAGGGTGGCAATGGCCCCTTCAGAGCAACTGAGGGGAGCCAGAAACGCAGTGAAGCATCCTAAATGTGGCTCTGTGCTCAGCATCCTCGTGCCACAAGAAGCGCAACAGTCCTGCGTGGGCTGCTGTACCGTGAGCGCTCCCGGTAGGAGCCCTGTGGGGTCACCTCAGCCACCCGCCGTGGCTGCACAGAGCCATCGCTCACAAAATTCTGCTTTGACCCGATCAAAGACTGACAGCAGACCAGGCACCACACAAGGTGCCAGCAACACAAAACCGGCAAGATCGTCCACCTCAGAGAGCGGAGGGTCTCACCGGGACACAGGTAAGCATGCCCAGTGCAGCATGGCAAGTTCTGTGCCCAGAAAGAGAGCAGAGGACTGCGCAAGAGAGAAGCAGGGGCCGAGGTCGGCTGGGGAGGAGGCATCAAGGAAGCCTTCCTGAAGGAGCCTTGGCCGAGCCCAAGACACGACGCTGAGGGCACTCCTGTCGGAGGCAGCCATGTACACAAAGTCACAGACACAAAGTCACAGACACACGCAAAGCACACCGGGGTCCTTCAGGGATTTCCATGGAGGTAAAAACAAATATGGCTTGAGAGCTGGGCAGGGTTTAGATCAGGGTCAGCAAACTGTGGCCTGTGGGCTCAAGCTGACTGCTGCTGTCTTTCTTTTTTTATACAGGGTCTTGCTCTGTTGCTCAGGCTGGCGTGCAGTGGTACAAACATGGCTCACTGCAGCCTCAACGTCCTGGGCTCAAGTGATCCTCCCACCTCAACCTCCCAAGTAGCTTGGAGTACAGGCATGTATCGCCACACCCAGCTAATTTTTACAGTTTTTGTAGAGACAGGGTCTTGCCACGTTGCCTAAGCTGGTCTTGGACTCCTGCGCTCAAGCCATCCTCTCTGTTTCCATCAGGTTTTCCTGGCATCCAGCCATGCTCATTGGTTGATATATTGTCTCTGGCTGCTTTAACACTCCAGTGGCAGAGTGGGGTAGAATTGACAGAGACCGCGTGGCCCACAGAGCCAAAAGTATTTACTGTGTGGCTCTTGTCAGAAGAGGTCCATGGCTTGAGTGGCACTGGTCTCTGGAACGGGGAACAGAGGAGGAGTGGCAGATGTGAGGGCAAAGACAGGGTTTGGTTCTGAGGCGCCGCAGGGCCTCTGTGCGGGCACCTGCAGGCAGCGCTCAGGAGAGTGGGCTGAACCGTCTGCCCTGGAAGCCATGGGTTGGATGATCAGTAGCGAGAGAAAACCAGGGACAGAACGTGGTGCTGCGGAGGCAAAGCCAGGGGCAGGAGGCCCAGCAGGGAACCAATCAAGAGGGCAGCACTGCCCCCGTCCCCGAGGGGAGGACGGTGATGATGGCGTCTGGTGAAGGACGGTGGGGGGCACTTGGGGGAGAACCCCAAGTTGAGGTTTTGCAGGATGGAAACTGTAAAAGGCCAAGGGGCATGAGAACTGGCTCATGGCGGGGACGCAACTAAAGAAAGTGTGTCCAGAGAAGGGTCAAGATACCAATGAAACCACAGCAGGCACAGGCAGAGGCCAGGGAACTGGAGGGCAGAGATGTGGCTGGAGGACAGGTGGCCACTGACCCTCAGGGTGGAGGGCTTCCAGGTGGCTAGGCCCGTGTTGCCATGGGGTCTGCTGCTGAAAGGCGAGGAGCGCGTGGGCAGGGACTCAGGATGCCCAGGAGCTCCGTATCTAGAGTGCAAATCCCAGACATTACCACCCTGGGTCCAGGGTGGCCAGAAAACCTAGAACTAGTGGCTTGGTCCTCAGCAATCAGGGCCTGACTGTATGGCTGCAGATCCCAGGTCACAGGGGCAGCAGCCAGGGACTTTGCCTCCTGACAAGGTCTGGGCAGGGGAGCAGGCCCCACCGCTCCAGCTCTGCTGAGTTCAGGGGTCCCTGAGGCCCGAGAGAAGTCAGCTCATCCTGCATGTCAGATGCGCCTGCTCTGGAGCAGGAGGAGGTGGTGAAGGCTCAACTCCACTCCTCTGGGCAGAGCTGCCAAGTGGTCCCCAGAGTCTGCTGTTGTACTCGGGCCCTCAGCACCTAATAAACCAGAGGCCTCCCTTGGGAGAATCAGCTCTGCTATAGGTCCCCGTCGTCTACACTCTGTAGCTTCATGGGGAGAATTTATCACCTTTCTTACAGGAAATCACACCATTAGGACAAGGGGAGCATGCCTGGCAGGCACTGGCCCCTGCCTGAAGCCGTTACAGTGGTTTTGCTCTTTGATGTGGTTTGGCTGTGTCCCTACCCAAATCTCAACTCGAATCGTATCTCCCAGAATTCCCACGTGTTGTGGGAGGGACCCAGAGGGAGGTAATTGAATCACGGGGGGCCAGTCTTTCCCGTGCTATTCTCGTGATAGTGAGTAAGTCTCACGAGATCTGATGGGTTTATCAGGAGTTTCTGCTTTTGCTTTTTGCTCATTTTCTTTTGCTGCCACCATGTAAGAAGTGCCTTTCGCCTCCCGCCATGATTCTGAGGCCTCCTCAGCCATGTGGAACTGTAAGTCCAATTAAACCTCTTTTTCTTCCCAGTCTCAGGTATGTCTTTATCAGCAGCATGAATATGAATACAGTAAATTGGTACCAGTCGAGTGTCACGTTGCTGAAAAGATACCCAAAAATGTGGAAGTGACTTTGGAACTGGGTAACAGGCAGAGGTCGAAACAGTTTGGAGGGCTCAGAAGACAGGAAACTGTGGGAAAGTCTGGAACCTCCCAGAGACTTGGTGAATGGCTTTGACAGAAAAGCCGATAGGATAGTGATATGAACAATAAGGTCCGGGCTGAGGTGGTCTCAGATGGAGATGAGGAACTTGTTGGGAACTGGAGTAAAGGTGACTGTTACATTTTAGCAAAGAGACTGGCGGCATTTTGCCCCTGCCCTAGAGATTTGTGGAACTTTGAACTTGAGAGATGACTAGGGTATCTGGTGGAAGAAATTTCTAAGCAGCAAAGCATTCAAAATGTGACTTGGGTGCTATTAATGGCATTCGTTTTAAAACGGAAACAGCATAAAAATTTGGAAAATTTGCAGCCTGACTATGCGACAGAAAAGGAAATCTCATTTCCTGAGAATTCAAGCTGGCTGCAGAAATTTGTGTAAGTAACGAAGAGCTGAAAGTGAATCACCAAGAAAATGTGGACAATGTCTCCAGGGCACGGCAGTCACCTTTGCAGCAGCCCCTCCCATCACAGGCCCTGAGGTTTAAGAGGGAAAATGTACTCTCGTGGGCCAGGCCCAGGGTGCCCGTGCTGTGCGCAGCCTAGGGACTTGGTGCCCTGTGTCCCAGCCACTCCAGCCATGACCGAAAGGGGCCAATGCAGAGCTTGGGTTGTGGCTTCGGAGGGTGCAAGCCCCAAGCCTTGGCAGCTTCCACGTGATGTTGAGCCTGTGGGCACGCAGAAGTCAAGACTTAAGATTTGGGGAACCTCTGCCTGGATTTCAGAAGATATATGGAGATGCCCAAGGAAAAGTTTGCTGCAAGGGCAAGGCCCTCATGGAGAACCCCTGCTAGGGCAGTGTGGAAGGCAAATGTGGAGTCGGAGCCACCACGCAGAGTCCGTACTGTGGCACTGCCCAGTGGAGCTGTGAGAAGAGGGCCACCGTCTTCAGAGCCCAGAATGGTAGATCTACTGACAGCTTGCACCATGCGCCTGGAAAAGCTGCAGACCCTCAAGCTGCAGAGCCTGTGAAAGCAGCTATGAGGGAGGCTATACCCTGCAAAGCCACAGGGGCAGAGCTGCCCAAGACCACAGGAACCCGCCTCTTACATCAGCATGACCTGGATGTGAGAACTGGAGTCACAGGAGATCATTTTGGAGCTTTAAAATTTGAGCTCCAAAGAAGCCCCACTGGATTTCGAACTTACATGGGGCCTGTAAGCCCTTTGTTCTGGCCAATTTCTCCCATTTGGAATGGCTGTATTTACCCAATATCTATACCCCCATTGTATCTAGAAGTAACTAGCTTGCTTTTGATTTTTTTTTTTTTTTTTTTTTGAGACAAAGTCTCGCTCTTGTCCCCCAGGCTGGAGTGCCATGGTGCGATCTCAGCTCACTGCACCCTCTGCCTCCCTGGTTCAAGCAATTCTCCTGCCTCAGCCTCCTGAGTAGCTGGGATTACAGGTGCTCACCACCATGCGCGGAATTTTTGTATTTTTAGTAGAGACAGGGTTTTGCCATGTTGGCCAGGCTGGTCTCGAACTCCTGACCTCAGGTGGTCCACTTGCCTCGGCCTCCCAAAGTGCTGGCATTACAGGCGTGAGCCACCATGTCTGGCCACTTGCTTTTGATTTTACAGGCTCATAGGCAGAAGGGACTTGCCTTGTCTCAGATGAGACTTTGGACTATGGATTTTTGGGTTAATGCTGAAATGAGTTAAGACTTTGGGGGACTATTGGGAAGGTATGGTTGGTTTTGAAATGTGAGGACATGAGACTTGGAGGGGCCGGGGGTGGAATGATACGGTTTGGCTGTGTCCCCACTCAAATCTCAACTTGAATTCTATCTCCCAGAATTCTCACATGTTGTGGGAGGGACCCACAGGGAGGTCACTGAATCATGGGGGCCAATCTTTCATGTGCTATTCTCATGATAGCGAATAAGTCTCACGAGATCTGATGGGTGTATTAGGAGTTTCCGCTTTTGCTTCTCATTTCCTCTTTTTCCACCATGTAAGAAGTGCCTTTCACCTCCCACCATGATTCCGAGGCCTCCCCAGCCATGTGGAACTGTAAGTCCAATTAAACTGCTTTTTCTTCCCAATCTTGGGTATGTCTTTATC